TGAGATGCTACCATGACGAGCAACGTAGAGCAATGATCAGGGCAGACCCAAGTTATGGAAGGGTCGTGTGTAGCCGGTGGTGTTCCTGATGGGGGAGGGATCCTGTTATGGATCAGTGTAGGCCTAAGAAATCGAAATCCATTGACTGAAACCGAGAGCTCAGAAACGGTAGGAGGCCGAAACTATGACCAAGATGTTGTAAACCAGTGGAATGGATCAGAGTCGTGCAGGCGATTTCGATAGTTATTATAGTTATTAATATTCGATAGTTATTAATAATTATTGTGCAACATAAGAAAACCTCCGGCTAAGAGAAGCCCACATTGATTTCTAAAGGAAAACCCCCTGATGGAAGAAAGAAGGCGTTGCTATTGCTTTGCGCTGAATGTGATTTCTCGCGAGCCTTTTGTCCTTTTTTAATCTTTCTTTGCATAAAAACAGTGCTAAGCACCGATCAGTATATAAGTTTTTGTCCCATGAGCACGGGTGCCCAAGCCAGCCAGTCGTCCTTTTTTAGGAAATTGGTTTCGCTTCATAAATGATAAAATACTACCAACTAAAAACCCTGATTTATTTTGCGGTGGATTGCATTTTCAGATACCCTATCGGTGCCTTGCCCATGACTGTGATATTGGACCTGCTACTGGCCCAGCACTATAAACAAAATCCAAGCCGAAAGAAGCCACTCCTACTTTTCGGCTGTTTCCCCGCCCACATGTTCTAGATTTCAAGCCACTAGTCTGTAAGAAGAAGCTGGTTAGGTGTTGTTTTATGCGGATATAAAGAGCGGATAACACGAAAAGGTGAGCAGCCAAACTGTCGCCGACGGATTCATATCTCCTTTGATAGCAGGGGGTTACTGTGCGTCAATTACGCCTCGATCTGTGTTTTCCACATTGAAATTGGCAAAACCATGCTAGTGTTCGCCGACTTCATGTAGGGATGTCATTATATTAAGGCTGGTTATTGTCATGGTGACATACTGAGGCCATCTTAGGTCGTTAAGAAAATGCCAATGTGCAATAAAGGCTTTGAAAAGCATCCATGCTGTGACATCTGAATCAGCAGTTTGTAGCATCTTTTTTCTGAGTTGGAAATATGCACATAAGGTTCACTGTTGGCTCGGCTACTTAAAAAAGGAACAACTGTGAGTGGTGGTCACAGTATTTTGGTAGTGATGTGTGTTGCATCAAATGCAGCATCATATGTGGGACTAATGTATTTGTCCTCAAAGGAAGGGAGTAAAAGGTTTTGTGTGCATGTCAAGAATGCATCATTCTACTTCCATAAAAATGTATATTTGAAAGCTTTTGTAATTTTAATGCTTGCTTGATAATGCCATATGTATCCGGGACTTGGGAGGTTTATATTGAGCGACGCCTGGACCGTGGTGAGCGGATCAGTTATGTGTCAGGAGCCATCTGTGTCATGAAATAGGTATGATGGTCTGGTGGGGCTGCCACTGGCTGTGCTTGTGTATTGATTTATGACTTGTTTTTCATTAAGCTTCAGTTCAAGCTTTAGTTCAAGTCATAGAGCCATCATCTGATGATGTGTGATTAATATGGTGTCTTCATTGCTACTGGTATCACCATCAGTTATCAGGTGATTGCTCTAACTTTAGTCTGGTGCTGTATGTCTCAAGGGTGCTTGTTGTAGGTATCTTGTAGCGCAGACTTGTAATGTCTGAGGGCTATTGTCAGATCTGTTGCCAGTTTCAAAGCTGGTCATTTACCTATTCCTGAAGTCACGTAGGTGAACATGAAAGCCTGAATTCTAGGCTCTTGATAGGTGTTAATTCCATGTCCATTGTATATATATGATGTATCCTGAGATAAAATGCTGGAGTCTTTTGGGGAAGTTCAGGCACAGGCCTGGTACAAGCTTTCTGCAGCATTAATCCTGGCTCATTGAGGTTCATCTGCAGACTTGGCCAATGGAGAGCATCCATGACTATATTGGGTTTGCCTGCTATTAGGTAGCTGGTTGCCAAATAGGAGCTCCCTGAGTTTGTAATAAAGTTAGAGAAATATGCACCGTGTCTGCTCATGCTGCCAGCTCCACCTCCAGCTCCAGCTCCAGGTTGTGGAACTTGAAGTGTTAGGTACATAATAAAGCTGGGTGGTATGAGACACTATGCTCTGGCTATGCCATGGACTTGTGAGAAAAGGGAAAAAGGAAAGAGAGAAAGAAAAATTAGTTGATGAAATATTTTTCTTTTTTATGCTGTGTCGTGATGTAGCTATTTAAAGTCATGACCCACTCCTCTTTTGAATGAGCACCATTATTCTATACACTGGCTGCTTACATGTGTATGTGGGGCTGTGTCCTTGCCAACTTTTGGTATCTGTCCTGTCATCCCTTGAGAAATAAAGAGAGGCATCAAAGCTTCCCTTTTTCCCTGCAATTTGAGGCTGTTTGACATGCATGTGCACAACAGTTGAATCTATGTGTGCTCAGCTGGTCAGTGCATTGGCGAGCATTCTGTGCTTGGGGTGCTGCACATCTTGACTTAGAGCAGTTACCAGCACTGATTGGGTCATGTGGCAAATCATTTGCATTATGCCTTATTGCTGCATGCATGGAGGTGTGGAGGCGAGAATGGCGCCTCGCTCTCCGTCCCCCCCCCCCCCCCGTCCCCAAAGTTGATGGAATTCGATTCAGCTACATAGCATTGAATCCAATGAATGGGTCACACCGGTTCCCTATCCGTCTCCCCGGGACGTTCGCGACGTGTATACCGGTGTCGGCACCAGCGGCCGGGACGCCGCTGGTGTGGACGGCTACCGGCCGCGGCGGCTGGTTTCCCCGCACCTGCGCGGTCCGAGGCGCGTGCCGCCCCAGGCCCCGAGGCCGGGCAGGTCACTCGTGTGATGTGCCGCCGCCGGTAGCCGCCGCGGCCGCGCGTGGCGTCCGCCGCCACCGCCAGGTGGCGGCGGACGCCACGCGCAATAGCCGGCCGTGGCGGCCCGGCGGAAGCGCGGCCGGCCCGGCCTGCCGCCAGCAGGCGGGTCCGCCGCCGGCCCGGCGTCCTGCGTCCGATATTGATGTGCCGGCGCGCTGTACGGTGGCCCACTGGGCCCGTTTGTCACCATCTGTTCGGAGAGGATAGCGGGTGGACGGATCGGCGGCAGCTGCGGGGCCTCAGAGGCGGCGGTCAGGCCGGGCAGTCGGGACTGGGCGCCGGGCGGACCCGGGCCTCTCACGCCGCGCGCCGAGCCCTGCCAGCAGCGTGCTGGCTGACGCCGCCGGTCGCTGCTCTGTTGTCTTGGCGCGGCGACGGGCCCTGGCGCTGCCAGCGGCCAGCAGACCCGGTCGGACTCTGTCCGGCGGTGGCGCGGCCGACACCGTGATCCCCCCCCCTCCCGGTGGCACCGCATGGCGTCTCGTGTTGACTCTGCGGGCGGCGGTGCCCTTGCCCCGCCGCCGGTGTGAAGCCGGCGTCAAGGGCGGGTGCCCGGTGCCGGTCGGGCTCGCTGTGTCAATAAACCCGACCGCCGACGTCTGATGACTGCCATCAGGGCCGACGCGCGGCCGGCCTTGGGTCTCGCTGGCTTGCCGCGGGTACGGTTGCTGGTATTGGAGCACGCGACCGTCGTCGCGACCGTGACCTTTGGGTCGCGTCCACTAACAAGAAGCGTGCTGCTCGAGGCCGCAGGTCGCCACGTCCGCTTCCGAATATGCGTGCGATGGGTCGGTCCGTGCCCACAGCGGCGTCAGCAGCCCGCCCGCGCGGTGCAGCCTCGCCCCCGTTCAGCGGCGCTTCTGTCGGAGGGGGGCGCTTGCTCGGTCCGCGCTCACAGCGGCGTCACCGGCCCGCCCGCGCGGCGCAGTCTCGCCTCCGCTCAGCGATACTTGTGTCGGCGGGGGGACTTCTGTCCTGTCTGCGCTCACGCGTCGGCTGCCCTCTTGCCTCATGTTAAGCTGGGAGGATCGCGCACCCGATGTGGTACTCTTCCGACGGTCCCGTGAACGGACTCCGCGTCAGTCGTTCGATTGACCAGTCATGGGTCCCACACGTATTGGATCCCAGGATCCGTATGGCTGTCCGGCCGAACACGCCGATGTCATGAACCGGGGAGGATTTCATCCTCATGAATGCATAGCCTGAGTATACTATGGAGAAGTATGCCAGTTGACTGAGTCGAAGTTATCGTGACGCACAATATTCTGAAGAATGTATGGGGCCATCCCGTGCTGCGGCTCTGACTGGACTTGGTACCAAACGCTGGCTTGCCTCGTGAACGCGTGCGGACCGCTCCACAAGCCCGTCCGTCAAAACCCGTCAAAATTCATTTGCGCGCTGATGTTAGTAAGGCTCAACGAGGAGCCCTGTTCGGGAGAAGTTTATAGAATTAGATCACAGGTGTAACACGCGCCCTGCGGGTAAAGCTTTGGACCCATTCAAAGGGTTGTAGAATCTTGTTGCGAGACATGGGAAGTTTTGCCCCGCTTATTTTGTGTCTTACCTCCAAACGTTATGGAACACAGACATTTTGTACTGCAAAAATGAGCAACATCGAATGGATCACTTTTTATATATTTCTTGCAAACTAGAATGGTACGGTGCCGATAAACGTATGCTCAACAAAAATACACCCAACTGGGTACCCTAGTGGATGGATCATAACTTAAAGTACTCAGTTTTACCGCTAGGTGTTGGAAGCTGTTGGGCTATTTTAGTTGTGGCTATATGTGGGGGCGCAGACAAATTATTTTCGACAACCATTTCCCAACACAGGAAGCTCGCAGAGATCGGGGCCCGGGGGAAAATGAGATGATTTCCTCAATACAGCGTGGTAACGGCTATTGTCTGAGCCTCATGACCGCCCCAGGACGTGTTCTGGCCTGGTCTGTCCATGACCCGTGCCCCTCGGACCATCGGCGCCATCCCTCTCCGGGCCTCCTCGCTCCGCTGACCCGGTGTAGCCGAAACCGTCGCTGGCGCCCGGCTCGCCTCGGGCGCCGCCACCGGCCGCCGTCCTCGCGGCGCCGGCCTCTGCGGCGCCGTGCTGACGGAAGCCGCCCAGACGCAGCGAAGGCGCGCTGGCCCTGGCCTCCCGGCGCGGAGCGCGCCTCCGCCGGCCGCCGCTGTTTGTGCAGCGCCGGCGATCGGCGCGGCGCGTTTTGCGGCCGGTGTTTTGCACGCCGCGTGCCAGGTCGAGGCAGGCGCCTTGTCCTTGCCGGGTTGATCAGCAGCCCGCTTTGTCTGGCCGTGCGTGCCGGACGCGGCGGCGATAGCGGAGAGGGGCGGGGCCGATCCTGCCGGCGCCGGCCGGCCGCCGCTGCCGGCCAGTGTGTCTCGGGCGGCGGGTGCGGCCGGCCGGACAATCCGCAGTCCCGGCTCCAGCAGTCAGCAGCCGCCGTGCCGATCTCACGGCTGCTGCCGTTGCGCCACCGCACTGTCGGCGGAGGCCTCTGCGTGCCGGCTGCCGGCGGCCGCGCTGCAAGGAGACGTGTGCCGCGCGACCTTGGCCGAGCGTGCGGTACCGGCGCGAGGCCGGCCGTCCGCTGACCCAGATCGCGGTGCCCCCGCCGGCGGCTGTGGGGCGTGTTGCCGGGCCCGATCGGCCCCCCTCGACGGCGGTCCAGCTATTGATTTGTCCGGTGCTAGCAGCGCGGCGCCGGCGGGCCGGCCGCCGTGACATATTGACCCCGACTTTCTCCGGCGACCCTGCGCGTCCCGTGCACGCGCTGCGCCGCGCCGCGCCCGCTGCCGCCGCTGGTCAGTGACTGACACCGAGCCGGCGCGCGCCATGGCCAGCTCCGGAGCCACGCCGAAACGGGTGGGTAGTGACACCGGCGCCCCGCCGCGCCCGCCCCGGGCGCCGCCCTGACCCGCCCTCGGCGCCGCCACGCCCCGGCGCTGTGTCGGACCTGTGGCAGCGGCGGGGGTGGTCCCGCTCGTCCCGCTGTGTTCCGTCACGTACGCAGCGGTCTGGCACTCGTGCAGGCCTTCCCTGTCATTGTGTCTCCGGCCGGGGGCGGAGTCGGCCCGGGTGTAGGCTGTTTCGGTTGTTTGGATGAGGGGTGTTTCGGCCAGTCATCATTATTTCAGGGACGTGGGATGGAGTAAAGTGGATAACGGTGGGGCCGACATACACGCACCTGGGGGTCCATGAGCCCACTCATGGCTGGTGCGTGTAGCCTGCCCCGGATAAGCGGGGCGTCTTGAGGGCACAGGATAAAACGAGAATGAGGATAATTGGGCGGATGTCGGCCCGGGCTGGTCTGACCCTGCTGTTGACCCACGCGCCTTTGTTCGTGCGCCACGCCGGCAGGCGCCGAACAGGCTGGGTCGCTGGCGGTAGCTGGTGTCTGCTTTGGCTCCTGTTTGTGTGGCATCAGTTGTAGGATGTGTCGGATTGGAAGGAACACGTCACTTGCCGGATCCCGTCTGGCCGGTACCAGATCTGGTGGCCGAAGGCTGGTGGGCTTAGCATTCCACCGATTCGATGTGCGGCCCAGTAAGGCCGAGGTATGCTGCCAAATAAGGCTGCTGGTAGCTTTCAGAATTCGGTTTGAGTGGCGATCTGTATGCTAGTTGTGGTCCCTGATTTGTGGTGCGGAAATGTGATGATGCCGCTTCTTGACCGATCATTAGTTTTGGCAGCTGTTAAGCTGGCTGTTGCTTCCTTCTCCTATGTTGTCGTTGGAAGGTGCTGAAATTCCCCACGGCATACATTGTGTGCTCTGTGTTAAGTCCACAAGCAGCGCACAGTTTCAGCCAACGCGCCACGTTCCGCCAACTGATCGCATGGGAGGTACATGGCGGCGGGAAGCCGCGAAGGCCGTTAGGCCCGGCCCCTGGCAGGCTACCGCCCGGCTCCCGCTCGGCCCCTGTCTGACCCGTGCCAGCTTCGCCGGGACTCCGGAGGCCGGCGTAGGCCCTATGCGGCCCCAGCTCGAGAGCCGCAGGCCCCGCCTGGGCCCGCCCGACGGATGTCCCACCCCAGCCAGGGTCCCATCAGCCGCGTTCTCATTCCCTTTGACCCCTGTTAATCACGCCTGTTCGTGGCCGTCCGCGCATGCACCGGTTCCAGCGGGGTTCCAGTGTTGTCGGCGCGCCGTCCGGGGGCAACGCCCCCGGCCGGCCGGCGCGCCGACGTCGACGCCGACGCCGTTGGCCGGCGTCCGGCGCCGCCGTCGAGCGCCGCCGGCCGCGCCAGCCGTCCAGCCAGTGAGCCGCGGGCGCCCGCTGCCGACGCCAGCCGACGTGCTCTGCAGTGAGACCGGGCGCCCGCTGACCCGTGCCGCCCGCGCAGTGAGACGGCCCGAGCGAGCGCCACACCGAGCACTCCAGCATGGCTGACGAGCGGCGGCTCGACGGCAGCCAGCAGCAGCCGGACGGCGGCGGCGCCGAGCACGAGCAGAACGAGCGCCTGCGCGCCGACGACGGCGACGAGGACGGCCCGACGCACGAGCCACGCGAGGACGGGCCGGCGCACGAGCCGCGCGAGGACGGACCGGCGAGCGAGGCGGACGAGGACGGGCCGGCGCGCCCGCTGGACGACGGGGCTAGCGAAGATGGGCCGCACAACGGCGGGACGCGACGCCCGTCCAACCCGGACGACTACACGGCGGACGTGAACGAGCAGATGGAAACCCGGCTGGAGCGGGGCGAGGAGGTGGGCAGCTCGGGCGACGAGTACGAGACGCTCACCACCATCACGCGCACCGTCAAGAAGACCACGTACCGGCCCAAGGTGTCGCTGTCGGAGCCGCTGCGGCCGCAGGTGAAACGCCCGACCGGCGGCTAACCAGCGTGGCGTGCGCGCGGTCGACGCGGCGTCACCGACGCCCGCCGGCGTAACCCGCTGACGGCGCCGCCTCTGGTGCTCGGCTCTGTCGCCGGCGTGTTGTCTCTGATGACTCTCTGTGTGTGCTCTCTCCGTCTCTCTTCTGCGTCTGTCTCTGTCGCTGTGTCGGTGACTGACGCTCGGCCGAGCCTCCAGCGCAGCCGCCATCGCCAGGTGGCTGTTGCTTGCGCTGCCTGCCGCGTGTGAGTGCCGTGAGTTTGCCGTGCCGCCACTAACCCCCGGCTCGGCGCCGGCCGCGCCGCTACGGCCGCGGTCGGCCAGCCTGTTTACGTCCGGCGTGCCAGCGGCATTGTCGCCGTCCGGGAGCGGCCGGCGCCAGCGGCTGGCAACGCCGGCCGACGCTGCGGCCAGGGCCGTGAGGTGGGCCCCACCAGACGGGCCGGCGGATGACCGCGCGCGGTCGCGGGCGGGTGCAAGACCGCGGCATGCCAGCACCGGATGGGGGGGGGGGGGGCGACCGGGACCTGGATGAGGTGTCCTGTCCGGAAGGACTGTCCGGAAGACTGTCCGGGACGGTTGTCTTCGCGCGAGCTCTGCGTGGCTGACAACTGGCAGGAAACGTCAGTACAGAGACAGGATATTGCCGAGAGTCGAAGGGGTCAACTTGTCAAAAATATGCGGATGATATCAGCTGAAAGGGCTCTCAGTACATCGGTGGAAGCCACCGGTGAGGTTAGCGGCTGGAAGCCTTCACTAGCGAGATTTACGGAGAGGAGACTAGTCCATTGACGGTATGCTGTCACGTACCGGGTAAAAGCCTTACTTGAGCGAAACTCACTTCGACCGCATGAGGGGTGGGCACAAATACCGGCATAAGGGTAACTTGTAAGCAGCCGGTTTGGTAGCATATTCCCGATGTGAGTTAAAGTTATGGCTAGATTTAATGTTGGTGACTATTAACATGTAAGGAGAATTTGATGGCGCAGTCGTCGCTTGGTGTGTGTAGTTGAGATTAGACCCCACTGGAGGGCTAATACGCGTTGGTGCAATGCGGTGACGGCTGCTGTTTGTAAGTCTGGATTCCGCTGTAATCACTGCAGGTGGCCCTTGCCAAGCTTAAGGCTGGCGTTGTAATCTCGTGCGGCCTCGCCGGATATAATTAGAAAACCCTGTGAGAGGCTTACGGTTAGGAACGACTGCGACGAATTGTGGTTTCAGGTGGAAGTGGGCGACCGGCGTCGCTGACGCAGGCGTCGACTCGTGGTTCGTTCTGATGTGAAACCTGGGGGTGGGAGTGAACTTTTCGCGCAGGGCACGAGGGTTTGTGTTCGTGGTTCCTTGTCTGATATGCGCTTTAACCACTGCTTCCCTGGCGTTTGTGCATCCTGCGAAGAGGTTTGACTTAACGCGTTTGCCACCTAACCCCACTGAGGCTGTTTTTCGGTGGCCACACCCGCTCGCCACGCGGCCGCCGAGCGTACCGTCCAGGCAGGCGGCAGCGGGGGCCGCGTGGCACCATGTCCGGTTTCGCCGGCCTGTGCGCACAATGCTGGCAGGAGCGCACCGTGCCGTGTGCGCGGGCGGCTGGGCACGGCTGGCGCACGGCCGTCGGCCTTTGTGTCGGTCGCCGCCGGATCCTCACGCACCGGTATTGTCCCGCGGCGCGGCCGCCGCGCCATTGTGTGGGAATGACGCCGCTCCCGCCGCGGCATCGTCACCACGCACCGCTGTGCGCGTGCTGACGGCCTCGTTCTGTGTCCGCGGCTGGACGCGCGGTCCTGATGCAGTGCGCACAGCCTGCTCAGCGGCGCGCAACAGCCTCCTCACTGCAACGCAGCTCCTGGGCCGGCTCGAAGGCGAGGTTACGAGGTTTCGGGGGAGGTTACCTGGGTCGGCGCCGCCGGACCTCCGCGCGCGGTCGGGCGGGGCCGGGCGTCGGCGGCCTGGCGCGGCCCTGTGTAGCCGCGCCTGCGAGCGGCTCCGCCACCAGCTGCTGCCCGCTGACTGACGGCCGCCCCGCCCGTCCGCAGGACATGAGCGCCAACAAGAAGCTGTACGGCAAGGACCTCAGCGAGTATGAGAACATGGACATGGACGAGCTGCTGGACCAGCTGACGCCGGAGGAGATCGACATCCTGACGCGGGACGTCGACCCGGACGTGAGTATACCCAGCGCGCGCGCGCCGGCCGTGTGCCGTCCACTCTGACACGGGAGCGGGAGGAGCCAGCAGGGCGATGTGGGCCACGTGTCCACGGCGAGTAAGCGTCGGTTTTACGCCTCTTGACGACGGCGATCGATGATGAGTCCGACAGCGAACGGTCAGCTCTTCTCGGCGTTATTTGGATCACAAGTGGAAACCAGAGGTCGGTTTGTTCAAGCTGTTTGAGTTTTGGAATTGACCTGTCCGCGTCTTGAATGTTAGATGTAGTTTACGGTCTCTGAAAGAGGAGCTGGCGCGGTCATTTTCACGTTATGGAACCTGGAGGTGATCAGGAGTTGGTTTTTCGAGGTAAAGTGATCACTCAAAGACCAAATGGTGTCCAAATTGCCGCCTGCGTGGAGCAGGCTTCACGAGTAAATGACCCCGGAAATGACATCATGTGTGGCATCTGTAGAAAAGTTGCACGTCTACCTGGGAATGCTAGTTTTGCCTGTCGCTGATTTTCCGTCCGCCATTATAGCAAGTTTGTGATGCTCCCATTTTTTTTTTTGGCCTGCTGTGGCTGGTTTCGTCACCATGACATTGGTTGAGAGGCTCGTTTGTTTCTTTGTTCTAGACATGTCCGGGCTGCCGTCATCCCAGAATCCTTTGAGTCAGGCGCCTATCGTTGATTTGACGGTGGTTTAAGTGCTGAGCCGATTAGCGTTGCTCTCCCAGCGTAACATGGAGGAGCACTGAAGCATGGCTTGCGGAGTCTCGAACGTCACCTGATGAGTTTGCTTCAGGATAAGCGTCCCGCTGCTGAGCTACGGCGCCGCCGCAGGCGTGCAGGCGATCGATGTGGACGGTGTATGGATTTTCCCGTTGTAACGTCACTCCGGAAGTGTCATACCTTGCGGTGTAGACGAGGACACGCCTTGCCAGTGCCTGGTTGCAGAGTTTGGTTGCCATGGGCACATGTTCTGGGACTCTTGAAGGGTCGGGGCTTTTTACAGGGCCCCGTATCCTGTATTGTACTATGTGCATTAATTCAAATCAATGCCGATATGGATACAGATAATACGGTGTGTGTATCGCACTCGAGATCCGGAACGGTACGCAATGTGTTTGCGCGTGGTGTTTCGTCAAGCGCTCACTAAAATGGTCCAGACAAATGTGCTCCTTACGTGCGCTGCAAAATGGCCCTTAGTTCATCCTGAACCATGAATAATGGGGCATGTTGGTACGTAAGTCTTCAAGATACGAATTAGGAAGAGTTAGACACTTTCACATGTTCCCGCGGGCGTTGGAGCACCCGTCATGATGAGCGAGGAGAACAGGGCCTGGATGATATGCTAAGGGATGTTTGAAGAACATTGAGTACGCACTTACGACTAAGGTGTGATGGGGGACTTCGAAGCCCGAGCTCATCAGGCATCGAAGGCGTCAAACTCAACAGAGGACAAGAAAATGAGTGAGTGGTGGTGAATGATAAGCAGGGTTCAAATTTACGTGGGCAGGGAAGGCAAGTGGTGTGTGGTGAGTGATGTCGGGCTTTTCGCGATTTGTACTTTCAGATGTCGGCTAGATTCTGAGACCTTGCCACGTGTTGCACAGCCTAAATTCTTCAAGCAACAAGCGTTTTTTACGTACCGCGTTTTAACGACCATAATCGGCTTCCTTTTGCACATGTCTGCAAAATTTTCACGAATCACTCACCGAACGCTGAGACCAGACAGAAAAGTTGCCACTTGAATTAAACCCGACTTTTGAAGATGGCTTCATTTGATTCCCTTTAGCTGCACGTGTCTTTACATTGGATATGGTATTTACCCCAATTACGAAATCGCAAGAAGTAAGAATCACTTCAGGCACAGCTAGACAGCTTCATAAGCGGGCTATCAATGCCAGACATCTTATGGAGACAATGGCGCGGCGGGCTGAGTAAACAACGGCATACATAAGTAAGTATGCTTCTGAGTAATGATTTATTTTCGCAATGCCAACTTGCGGCCGCGCAGGCCTGACAAATGGCTCGCTGTCGCAACGCCGTCGTGCTGCCAGGGGCGGCATGCGAATTGGCTCCGTCTGCGTTGGCCCATGCGTGCCGTTACACAATAGCCGCCAGAGTTTCTCCACGACAGCGAGAGACCGCGGCCATGCCGCCGGGTCGGGACGCCACACACTCACACACACACACAGCGCCAGAGTGGCCGGCTGGCGCCTCGGTCCGGGCCCGCGCTGGCCAATCAAACTGCCGGCCGGTCCTCACGTGACTGGGGCGTGGCACGCCGACACGCGGGCGCCTGGCCAGTATGACCGGGCGTCGCCGTCGGCGCATCGGAGGGGCCGAGGGGGACGTCCGCGTCCCATGTCTGGGCCGTGGCGGACAATCCGCGGCTAGTGGTCTGCCGAGCTGTAACAATATGCGCGTTGCGCGGTGGTCGGCGTTGCACGCATCTCTGGCTTCGATCCTTTATTAGGCGATGCGCCGCGGCCAGCGGCTAGTAACGCACAGTGGCCATCCAGCGAGTGCGCAACGTTACGGGAGACGGCAACCATCAATCAGACGTCCCCCGGCACAACAAATCTGCTCGTCAGCTGGCAGCTGCTGTGATGGGGATGGTGAATGGTCAGGAACCGCTGCGAATCACTTGGTTCGCAGTAAATCTCTATGTAAATCACAGTGGTTGAGACGAGGTCCTCGTATTACGGATGGAATAACTGTTAGGACTGTAGTCCAAATCGTTCGAATCTCGGCATTGCCTCCGAGAAAATTTGGGCCGCGCTCGTGACGCATGTTTGGCTGAAAGCCAAACACTTGGCACTTCTCGGGACCCAATAACGCCTACGGCGACCGGGAGAGTTCACTGGCTGAAACGCTGCGAGGAGAGCAGCACTTCAGACAAGCACGGCAGTGGCAACAGTTGATTCACCCGTTATGCCGTGAAGCATGTTGAAACAATGCAGTTAACGAGGTTTTTTCAATTCGATTGGGAGGCACATCATCACATCATCCCCAACCGTGATCTCGTTTGGAAAGAATGCTCTTGGATCATTGTTTATGACCTCTGTCGTCGTGTGGTGTGTGCAGTGCCGCCGTCGGCAGGTGCCCGCTGCTCGTCAGTTGACACCACCGCCACCTGGGGACCTCACCCGTTCGACGTCGTGGTGCGGACAGTAGTCGGAGCCTTGCTCGGCCGGCCGGGGCCCGGGTCTCTGGGGCCCTCGGCGCCGGGTCAGCACGGCTGCTGTCGCTAGGTGGCGGGAGCCGACGCCGCTCCCCCCGCGGGGGGAAGGGGGATGGGGCGGCCGGGGCCCGCACCGCCGCCGTCGCGGCGTTAACAGGCGGCTGATTGGGCCCGGGTCGGCTGTCGGGCGCTGGTGCAGCTGCGCACCCGCCCCCCTCATCCGAGACGGGGGCCGCCCCCCCCCGGCTGATGGGAGTCTGTTCGCCGGCTCCGTCGCGGCTCGGCTGGTGGGGCATCTGTCCCGCCACGCAGGAGCCCGCCGTGTGTCGGGAGGCGCGCCGACGGCCGACAAAAATAGCCCATTGCTGGGTAAGATGGTCATTTCGTCGGATTAGAGCTGTGTTTAGACGGCCATGGTATTTTTGGCGAGTTGTAGCGACCGGGGTGGACCGACGGCGCCCCGTGTGCAGAGCGGGCGGCCGGCGGGCCCGACGCGGACGGGGCGGGCACGCCGCGTCGGCCGCGATATCGCGACTTTATCGAGCCGGCACGGCGCGGCCGCCGACGGCTCTCGGCCGCCGGCGTGAGCTCGATTGGAGGCAGGCCGATAGCCGGCTCAAGGGCTGCGAGGTGTGGCGACCCGATGCCGGAGACGAGCCGCCGCCCACCTGACGGGGCGGCGGCGGCCAACCTGGCGGCGGCGGCCAACGGACCCGCCACTGAGCACTGCGGCCGCGTGGCCATGTTGGGCGGCGTAGAGAGTGGAAGGTGGCGCCGCGCACAGTTCGGATTTGATTGCTACCAATCACAGGCGTCTGTTTTCAGCATGTAGTTGTACGCCGTTTGTGGTGAAATCCGAATGACTGTAACATCTGGGGTAGCTGACGTGGGTTATACTTCGGCCCGCAGAATACCTTTTTGGGCAGCATTTTGAGTGTGATGAATCGACGTGCTACGCCGATAGTTATCACCCAAACATCCACAATTACGTCGTTGCGGCCCAATTTCGCCTCGTTTTGCGCATTTCGCATGGTTTACAAACGGCTTTTGTGAACGCCACGGCCTGCTGAGCCCAGACCATTGGTTCTAATCTGGCGATCCACTTGTGTTGGCGGGCAATCGCTGGCGGCCGTCTCGGCCAATTGGACGCTGCGGGTGCCGGCAGGCGGTCCGCCGCCGCTGGCCGGCCGCTCATGACGCTCAGCCCCGCCGACAGCGGGGCCGCTCCGCGCACCTCCAGCCCTGCCGACAGTGGGCCTCCCCGCGGGGGCGGCACCATTGCACGGCACCACCCCAGTGGTGTGGTGCCGTGTAGTGGTGATAGTGTCTCGTTATATACGGTACCACCCCAATGGGGTGGTACCATGTATGATGAGACACTGTCATCGTACTTAAAGGTAGTGCCTTGTAGCTCTCCATGCCTGCTGCACAGCCGCTAATATGGTAGATACGCGTATGTCCGTCCTGCTAGTCCATGCACGCAATGATCATTGACAGAGATTACCACATTTGTATGCTCCTCGTGTTTGACAAAGTAACTTCACATAAGGTGTTGCAATTATAACAAGATAGATAGCATTGTTACCTCCTTTTTTCTTTTCTGTTCTCACGACTAATGGAACAACTTCAGGCTATTTTCGATTCCGGGGTGCCTTTTTGTCATCGCGTGCCTCGTTAGGTAGCAGTCTGTGAGAGGGGTTTCCTTTCGTTCGCATTATGCTTGTTCTCATTCAAGGGATGCAGTTTCCGCACCATCCGTCCACGTGTTTCTCGCTGACCATGATAGCGTATTGTCTGAAGAGTACAGTCACTGGAGAGGATGAGGCTTTCTGGACGTACGATATTCAGCGGTTCGCTCCATGAGATTTGATATTAACAAGACCTTATTTTAGCTGTGTTTGTATTCAGTGCGGTCTGGCAGGTGAAAAACACTTCTTGCGCCGTGCCCACCCCGGGTGTGCTTCGCAGCCCGTGTATCTTTCCACGCGCTGTCAAGATAGGTTGACTCTCCGCCGTCACTTGAGACAGCATGCGACAGCAAGACTGTACTGGTAAAGGAAGCTTGCGTACGGCATCTGATATCCTCTGGACTGTTTGATGGGTCTCGCCGTCTCGCATTTGTCCTGATGGTTGGTTATGTGTGCACGGGTCTTGTGTGGACGGTTGAACCTCATTTAGATCTTGTCCTGGGCGGTTGTGTTGGTATTTACCGGCTTGTCACCGGCCTCGGGTCAGCCTTGTTGGGGGTGGGGGGCGATTAAGCCATTTAATTCCCGTCGAAGTATGTGAAATTCGAAAAGTGGGCGTAAAACCGCCATTCAGCCACTTGACGACCTCTCATCGAATTGGACCGCTTACTGGACTCAAAAGTTTGCGGACCCTCATGTTCTTGGATTGCGAAGCCACATCTATCCGCCCGTCAGAGTTGCCTGCATAGCGGCTGCAAACAACCTGTGCGGTGTGCTCCCTCCGTGCCTGATTAAGAAGTCAGAAACGTACGCCAGTATTTGATTAAATCATGTACAACTTTGTGCTGCTTTTATTTACATTGCCATCGAGCTAAAGATTCGGGCGATGCCACAACGTGTCGCAGTTAACGCATTCGCAAAATTGTACCGCCGTCACATTAGGAGCATGTATTGATAGGCCTATATCATGATAAGACCGTACCGGCATCTTGTTTCACATTCGGCCTAGCCGTTGTGTGTTGCACCTTCTCCAATGTATTCTCAGATGTTGCTCTAGCATTTGGTGTCGATCCATTGAGCAAGGAGCGTTAACTTAGTCTAAAGAATTACATGCTCGGCTCACTCCCCAGGTTGCGGGCATATTTTGTGTCAGCTCTTCAAAACAAAATGTTCAGTGTTGTTACTGATTACCGCTTGAATTGGCTCGGATGTCATTCGCAAGCCGTGTATTTGTTTGTATCCACCTGCCAACTGATCGCCTTGTGTGCGTGGCCACCCGCGCACCACCTGTGCACCCAGTGCGAGACAGTGAGCGTGTCCACGTGGTGACCGGGTGTTGGGTGTGCGCTGCAGGACACGCTGATGCCGCCCAGCCAGCGCACCTCATACCGGTGCGACAAGTCGTCCACGGGCCCGCTCAACCGGAAACGGCTGATCGAGCACATCCACCAGCAGGCGCTGAACGATCCGGACCGGCCCGAGATGGTGCCCTACCAGCCGGGCGTCGTCCGCGGCAAGAAGGTGATCCTCCGAACTGACCTCTGTCGCCCCGGCCCACACGGCACTGGGGGGAGGGTGGGGGGATCGACCGGAAGCCACACAACCGACCACCAGATCCCGTCCCGCACCCAGCGACGACAGCCGATGTCGGTGTCCCGTCATCGTCCGGCACTGTCGCACCGCCGCCGGTGCCCCCGAGCGTGGCTCGGCTCCCCCGGTGGGCGGGTCAGCAGCGGCGGTGTCCGGTGGCGGCCGCGGGCTCGGAAGCACCGAGCGACCGGGCCCGCTGGCGCGCCGCCGCCGCTGTTGTCCCGGCGCCAGCGGCCGTTCGTGCGTCTCCGTGGAGCCCCGGCTCACTCTCGGCCGTTCCGCGAAGTGTTGGCAGGGCGCTGGACGACCCTGCTTGGCCCGTGCCCAGCTGTTTTTGTATTGAGCTGTTTTCTCTGGAGGAGGGCTTGTTGTCGGTTGAGGGCTCTTTATCTGAATTCGCTCGTACTGGGGTAGCCTTGCAGTGGGCCATTGTGTGACTCCTTCACCGCTCATTGGTCCTTTGACCCAGTCAGCCCGCTTCTTCATGGAGTATGACGAAATGTATCTCCCGTCTGACCTCGTACGCGACCTGACACCTTAACATGCGGCGGTCGTCGCTCCAGCTGATTGAAGTGCCCACCGGTGCTTAGTACCCGCTGTACTCTGACATGGTGGTGCGAAGTCTGCCCCTGTCCCGCCCTCTACTCCGCTCTGGTCGTTATCGCCACTCGCACGCCGGATTTGTTTTAAAAGCTGACGAGTGATTGTGCGATTCGAGTGCGGTGATTATGCGCCATGTTGGTGGTTGCGTAGATCTGACCTCAGCTGACCTGGATGAACCGGACTCGTGAACGGCAGCCAGTGGTGTTCGGTGTGAGCCGGGCTATCGAGCAGAACGCGCTTGAGCTGGCGTGAGACAGCTGACAGCTTGTACCGCCGCCGCTGCCTTAGAGCTGGCGTGACCTGACCTGACCCGGCGGCCAGTGCTGTCCCCTCCCCCCGACCTGAGAGCTGACCGGGCGCGCCCGCGCCGCCAGTTCATCCCGCCGCCGCCGCCGCTGGCCGAGCAGCGGCTGGAGGAGGAGATCCAGCTGGACCTGGGCGACGAGTACGAGTCGGCGCTCGGCGATGCCTCCGAGAACGAGCTGGTCGACCTGGCTGGTGAGTGGCCGCCGCCGCCGCCGCCGCCGCCGCCGGTCGCCGTGCTGCGGGACGCGCGGACGCGGCTGCGCCGGCGGCTGGTCGCGACACCGCGACACGGCGGCCGTGCGGTGCGGTGGTTGGGTGCATCCGGGAGAGCGGGACGACCTCGACAGGAGTCCGGGCCGCGCGGCAGCTGCCGTAGAGCCGCGCGGCATCGGCCGGCGCTGCGGCGCTCCCGACACGAGAGCCGGCTAAGTGATCCGTTTACCTGACCGGTGTTGTGATGATCCGGCACGGCGCGGTGCACCAGGTGCGCGCCGGTTCGCCGGGTCTCGCACGCCAGCTTGCGGTGCTGCGGTGTCGCTATTGAGTAGTGAGGTGCACGCCACATGTAGGACGACTGACTCGGGTTATGTACCCAAGTGGATGACAATTGCCACGTCGTTGATGTGATCTGCGACCGCGGGGTCATTCGGGCGCCAGCGTGGAGCGCCGGGTGTCATGCGGCGGCCGGTATCATACGGAACCGACCTGTCCGCCGCCAGCTGCCGCCGAATTGATGGCGCCCGTAGCGCCGACTGCTGGCAGCCGGCGCCGCGGCGTCTCTCGCCGGTTGTCGCCGCGACCTTGGGGCGCGCAAGTGGTTCCAGTTGCTGACACTGCCAAGCGGCGGCTCCGCGCCGCCGTCCGTGAGATGTTTGTGGTGGCTGCCGGGCGGTCAGCCGGGCGCGGCGTGGCGTCGCCTCAGCTGGTCCCCGTCGTCGGACGAGCTCGGCTGGAGTCTGCTCAGAGCTTCTAGTTGTCCCGTGTCTTCTCTCTGTCTTTCACTGTCCAGCGATGTATTCTGGGACGCCCGGCGAGATCTGCAGGGTGGTCGCGCTGGCACTGGCCGGTGATCCGGTGGAGCGTCGGCGGGGCCCGTCCGTGGGTCGGCCGCGCCGCCCCCGCTGCCAGCACAGGTCACTCCGGCCGGCCGGAGGCCCGAAAACCCCGGTGACGGCCGGCCGTGGGTCGGCCGCGCCGCCTCCGCCGCCGGCTCCCCGTCAGCGTCGCGGGCGCGCTGACTCAGGCGGCGGCGGTCTGACGGTCCGGTGGCATCATCGGGCCGTCTGCCGGCGGGGGCGGGCCGTGACCTCGGCCTCCGCCGCCCGGCGATCACCTGCCATTGCTCATCCAGGGCTCATCAGTCAGACGGGTGCGAAAGCAGCACAGCTGATTGAGACGGTGCTCCAGCCCTCGGAGCGCGGCGTGCGGGTGCGGCGTGTTGAGCAGATTTGACGCTCGGGCTGCAGTCGTGCTGGTTTTGCCGGCGGTGAATGGGGTTGGTCTCCACGTCGTGCGATGGCTCGCCTTGATGCTGGTCGCAGCGCAATGGAGTGACGTCCCCATGGGCGGAAGTTTGCACAGGTTGCCGCGCCGCCGCTGCTGCTGTTGGGATGCTGCCAGCGGCGTACACAGTCGCCAAACGGCTGGTGCTGATCGCTGCTCTGTGTACCCGGCCGACCTCCGGATCTGGCTGATGCCGCGTCGTCCCCGCCCCCTCCCTCCCCCCACGAGCGGTGTCCGCCCACGCCTGGCCGGGGGCGGGTGCAGGTGGGCGGCTGGCGGCGCCGGCATCGCCTCCCTGTACCCTGCGGCTCCTCGGGCCCGCCTGCCTCTGATCTCGGCCGGGGGACTGTGATGGACGGCGCCTGCTGACCGCTTGCGCTTGTTCGGTGGTTCTGCGAAATCTCGCCTCATTGTTGGGTCCGAAGAGGCGCTGATGTCAGAGCGGTGACGAGCCCCGTGATGCTGGGCTTGTGAAAATATTTGAGTTTCTGTACGATGGTGTTGTTTAGTGAGAATTGGTAAAGCATCGGTAGTGACGTCTGCGATGTTCTCACTACTGTATTATAATCGCCATGCTGTTTTTCCATCCAACCCGTTAGACGTACTCATTGGATCGCCCGTTATGTCGCATTTATGCAGCACCTCACAACGAGCCATTTTCCTGACGTTTGATGCATAGCAAGTGGCAGCACTTTTGTGCGCATCCACCCGCTGACAAGCCGTTACCCCGCCACGGGTCTCACCAGTGACAAAGCCGTCTGTGCACGTGTTCCGCTCCAGGATGTTTTCGTTGTGTACTGCTGCTCCGGACCGGCAACGGCCCTGTGGACCCAGCCGGTGCACCGGCGTCAGCAGCCGGGCCCGCGTCGGTTGCGTGACGCCGTCCCCGTGTGTCGGCAGCGATCCTGGGCTTTCACTCGATGATGAACCAGGACCAGTACCACGCGTCGCTGGTGGGCAAGCGGCTGGAGTCTGACGTGGGCTGGGCGGGCATCACGCGCGCCACGCGGCCCAAGCCGATGGCGCCCGAGCCGCCCAACCAGACCGACCCGGAGGAGTCGATCCAGCGGCTGAAGCAGGACGACGCCGACCTGCTCCAGCTCAACCTCAACAACATCAAGGTGGGCGCGGCGCCAGGCGCGGCGCGGCGGGACGGGCGCACGCGGTCGGTGTCGCGAGCTGCGGCGCTGCTACCGCGGCAGTGTTGGACCGCCTGGTGCGGCTGGGACGGGTGCCGCGGGGCTGCTGCACTGCGGCAGTGCAGCACGAACAGCACAGGCGGCGGTGGCGTGGATTTGTGGGCCGGGCGTGCGCTGTTTTATCATCGGCAAGCCACGTCGTAAAAGTGAGACGGCCCGGTTTTTCAAAGCGCGGCAACTGACAGGCCCAGTTTGTGGCTGGGCGGCAGAGGGCGTGAGGCGACGGCCTGGCGCGAGATGGAAATAGTCGCACGGGCCGCCAGCAGGGGAAATGGGCCACATGCTGCTCCCGGGAGCAAATGGGGCTCTTTGGTGAGCTGCCTCGGGGACAAAAAGTGCAGTTTGTGATGGATGACTGTTCTAGGTCATTGTGTGGTTTCCAGGAGGGTTTTTGCCGTTCTCTTTGCAACGCGACCCAACACGTGATCCGTTTGTTGCCGACCGTCACAGAGGCCGCGCGTGCTGGCAAACATTGACCTGGGGTCACGCATGTACCATCCAGGAACCCCGCAGAGACGGTTTTAGCCGATCTTGACCTGGGGTCACGTGTGCACCGTCCAGGGACCCCAGACGGACAGGGTCTCGGCCGACCTTGACCGTCGGCGGCGCAGCGTGCCGCCGTGACAGTACTTGGGAGCCAAACAAGTAAATCACTTGGCGAAGAAGTCGAGCGCCAACGCAAACACGCGCCCAGCTGGGGGACGCCGGAGTCACGTCAGGTCACGCCGTGGGGAGCGGAATGGGGGAGAGGGGGAGTGGCGTCGGGCGGCGACAGAACAGCAGCAGGCGCTGGTCTGGGAGTGTGCGCTTAAACGGGGTCGGGTCTGCGCTCTGTTGCCTCTGACGCGGCCGCGGCTGCCCTGGGGAAGACATTTGTGCATGTGTGCAAAATGACGCTATGCATTGAACTCGTAAATTATCTGTACAGTCCTTGTTCTCAGTTTATGACCTATGAACACCTTGTGGCTCCCAAGGGCGGTCAATAGCCGGCGATATTGGATGGATTTTAGTGGGATGTGGTGGGTGAAAATCATCGGTCAGGTCTGCTTGTATTTATTTCTCTAGATTTATTGACGACTTGTGTTTATTATGACATGTCTTACTGGCCTCTTGGGTGGCAACTTGTGGAATATATATTGGGCAGCTTTGGTTGTAAAATCTTATGATCGGACATTTTTGATGCCTTCTTTCTCAGTTGATCTTGGCACGCAAGGTCGTCCTCCAATCTGATCTCAGCACAACTTTTGGATCGGCCGTCTCTCAATAGGACGTTCGCATGGATGCCAGTGATCACGTGTTGCTCATTGCTCCCGGGTGTTGGACGCGTCTCCGCCCCCGCCGCCCCTCGCTGCGTCTAACAGCTGGAGTGCCACCGATGAATGTGTTGTGATCTGACGTGTGGGGTTTCACTTCGATCGGGGAAGTGGATGGCACGCACCTGCCTGGCGGCGGAGAGGCGCCGCGCTGAAGCCGTCCAGGTGTTGATGACGTGGTATTCGGACTGCTGGCGTGTTTGGCAGCGCGGCGGCGGTGGCTGGGGGCGCCGGGCGTCGCCGGCGGCGGCGCGGTCCCGGGTCGCTGCCGGCAACATACGGCTGCTGCGCACCGCCGCCGCTAGCCCGGCCCGCGACGGCGCCCCTCGCCGCTGCCGACAGCTCGGCCCGCGACGGCGCCCCTCGCCGCCGCCGCCAGCCCGGTCCGGGACGGCGCCCCTCGCCGCTGCCGACAGCTCGGCCCGCGACGGCGCCCCTCGCCGCCGCCGCTAGCCCGGCCCGGGACGGCGCCCCTCGCCGCTGCCGACAGCTCGGCCCGCGACGGCGCCCCTCGCCGCCGCCGCTAGCCCGGTCCGGGACGGCGCCCCTCGCCGCTGCCGACAGCTCGGCCCGCGACGGCGCCCCTCGCCGCCGCCGCTAGCCCGGCCCGGGACGGCGCCCCTCGCCGCTGCCGACAGCTCGGCCCGGATGGCGCCCCTCGCCGCCGCCGCTAGCCCGGCCCGGGACGGCGCCCCTCGCCGCCGCCAGCCCGGTCCGGGACGGCGCCCCTCGCCGCCGCCGCTAGCCCGGCCCGGGACGGCGCCCCTCGCCGCCGCCGCCAGCCCGGTCCGGGACGGCGCCCCTCGCCGCCGCCAGCTCGGCCCGGATGGCGCCCCTCGCCTCCCCCCGTCGGCTGCGGGACGCCAGAGTAGGGGTAGGACCGCTCGCAGCGTGGCGGAAGCCCAGCCAGGGAGAGGCGGCCGGGGGTGCGGCGGCTCAGGCTCGGGTGGAGCTGGGGGCCAGATCACTGTCGTGGTTGGGCAGTTGTGCGGGGTGTGACCAATGGCCAGTGTCCAGCGTCTCCGGCCGGCAGCCGGCGCTGGTGGCCGTCTCCCACCGCCCGCCTCTGCAGGCTTGTAGCGGTCGGTACCGTGGCACCGGTTTGCACGCATCAAATGGGTGCGCTGGGTTTTGAGTTGTGGACGCGTGTCCTGGCTCGCAGTTTATGCCGTAGGTCTGGGGAGGAGCTTCGACTGAACAGTTCCCCTGCGCCGGACATCACTGGTCCCAGTGATTGGTCAACGCCGATGTGTGTTTACTCCGCCTGGTTGGGACCCCGTGATGACGTGAGGAAACCTTTGATTGCTGGCGCTGTGCTGTCCTGAGCAGCCCCGTGGGTGGCCGGGTCGGGCTGGCTGGACGGCGGGACACGCAGTGCCCCCTGTTGTCGACGGTCCCCTGGGCTAAATAAGGCGCGCCCGGCCGGCGGCCGGCTGGCCGCGTGCCAGCCGCGGGCACCAAGTTTAACCGGCCGGCTGGCAGGCGGCGGCGGTGCCGGCCGTCCGACCCGCCGTGCCGGTCAGGGGCGGCTGACACACGTGCATCGCCGCCTGCTCGCCGACCTCGGGCCCTGTCGCCGGCTCTGTGCCTGTGATCTGGCCAGGGTTTCCAGACTGGCCGGGCCCAGGTCCCGGTCCTTTCTTGGGATTGTTCGCAGCCCCTGCCACTCCCGTTGGTCCGGTGGAGCCTCCAGCGCGCACGGTGTCAGCGGATTTCGCCTGGCCAGTAGTCACGCAATTTCACATCCTGGTCCTTGACGAGGACGGGAGGATTTGGACGCAACCTCCGCTGCAGCCGACGTTTTTGGATCGCGCCCCCTCCCCTCCCAAACAGCATGTGACTTCACCAAGGTTATATCTGTTCAAGATGTCGCTTCTCATTCCGTGCGGCGCCAACACCCGTGCAATGAGAACGGCCTGTGGTGAGGCCGTGCGCAGCTTGCGTGCAGCTGTTGAAGTGCGGTTTGAGAGCGTGCTGCGGAGTGTACAGTTCGTTCAGTCCCGGAGGGTAGGGGAGACGATTTTTGGATGCTCTTTTTTAGAGATAACGCACTGAAGGTGTATGAGAGTTGTTGCCCTCGTTTGTCATGTGTCATGCGTGGCGAGCGTCCGTTCGACATGTGCTGTAGCTGCGCTAGTGGCGGGGCCGGCGCGCTGACCGCCGGCCGGTGCCTCCTCTTCCAGAACATGTCAGACGAGCAGCTGGAGCGGCTGTGCGAGGCGACGGCGGCCAACACGCGGCTCGAGAGCCTGCTCATGTCCAACACCGGCCTCACCGACCGCAACGCCGAGCACTTCGTCGCCCTGCTGGAGCGTAACTTCACGTTGAAGGAGCTCAGGTGCGTGGCCGGCCAGCGCCCGCCGTCCCCGGTAGCGCGCCCGGCCAGTGGCGGCCGTCCCCAGTAGCGCGCCCGACCGGTGGCGGCCTTCCCCGGCAGCGCGCCCGGCCGGCGTCGGCCGTCCCTGCGTGTCCGGCCGGTGGCGGCCGTCCCCGAGTTGTGTGTCCGGCCGGTGGCGGCGCTGTGGCTGCTGCCGTGCGGCCTGTGAGCGCTCATCGAGGTGTCGGTCTGTGCCATTTTTGATTGTCCTCTAACCGGCGAAACATTGGCTTCTGGAATGGGAGCTCTGATGAGAACAAGAGGGCGTTATGGCTGAGTGGCTGACACTGGCTCTCACATGGGGCGTGGGTTCAAATCCTGGTAGAGCCGTGGTCCCTGGGCGCTGATATGACTTTTGCGGTCGCTGACGCTGCATAAAAGGGTGCCCGGCAACGTGCGTCACGCCCCGTTAAAAAGGGACGAGAACACTTGATAGTGCTGCTGCTTTCGAGGATAAGAAATGATAATCTGCTCTTTGTAAGGTGTGTGTCTCATTCCCTGATTTAGAGGAAGCTTGGCTATAGATAGGGAGATACAAGATGAGTTGACTGTGCATAATTTGTTTTGCAGTATTGAGTCCAACTTCATCAGTCCTGCCATGATTGCACGGCTAGTAAAAGCCCTGCTCAAGAACAAGACTGTCGAAGTGTTCCGTGCCGCGAATCAGGTAGGCTCAGCGTCCTGTTTGTCACTTCTTCACTTTGGGATATTGCTCAGGCTTGACTTTCAGCTCGCCATTGTCAATGTGAGCCCGCGTATGACGGAAGCGCAGTAGGCCGCGGCCAGCTTCGAGGGCTGCAGTACCCGCGCTCAGATCGGTGCGGCTTGCATCTGTCCCGTGTGCTGGGAGTCCGATCTGAACGGACATACGCGACCTCACTTACCAGATGCGTCGCCAATATGCTGGCCGATCGAACGGGTCGGTAGAGAATGGACCACTGCCGGTGTGGGTCGTCCATGCGTCGCGAAGTGGTCAGGCGGTGCTATAGTGTTGAGTCGGCGGCAGCCCTCATACTAGCCACGCATGTGTCAACGCGTACCCAGATTGTAGAAGCCGCGCCCACATGTCGCGCCTTCCCGCGACCCCCAGAGATCTCAGGTTCTGGGAAACAAGATCGAGATGGAGATCACCAAGTACGTGGAGGAGAACCCCGTCATCCTGCAGCTGGGACTGCACTTCGAGTTCAACGATTCTCGGGCGCGCGTGGCGGCGCAGCTGCAGAACAATCGGGACAGGTGTAAGTGAAGCGACTGGCCGTCCCGGCGCCGTCGTGAGGCCGCGGCCGGGACCGTGTCACGCGGCTCGCGCCGCGCGCTATGCCTGCCCCGAGAGCTAAAGCGCCGCCCTGACGCCGACCGATTCTAGCCGCCGTGATAGGCTCGCAGGTAAGGTAATTCACCACTGAAGTAGCCCTAAGCGCCTGCGCGCATTAGCGGCCTGCTAGCTCTGGTGTGACCGGCTCGAGTGTGTTCGCAGTCACCCAGCGGGGCTTTGCGTGCGTTGGCGTGCGCTGTAGCCGGCCAGGCCGCCGCGTTTGAGTTGCCTGTGGTGCCGTATGTATGATTTACCCTGTAAATAGCTGTGCCGGTGACGTGTGGGGCGTTGGACGGCGGCTGCCGCCCGGTCTGTCGTCGCGGGGCGGTGCCGCCGGGATCCCTGACAGGTGACGCCCGTCCGTGCCCCGGCCGCGGCTGTTGCCGGGTGACCCTGCTGACCGGTGATTGATGGGACCGTTCCGCAGCTCTGGTAGTCCGGTGCGCGACGGGTGCTGTGGCTGGCGCCGGTGTGGTCCTGTCCTGCCGCCGCCGCCGTGTGTGGCTGTGACCGTGTCGTGTGTGGCTGTGGTCTGCAGCCGGTGCCCTGGTGTGCCGGCTGGAGGTGGCTGGTGTCGGTAGTGGGCGGCCCGGCGCCCGGCGTCCGGCGCCCGGCGCCCGGCGCCCGGCGCCCGGTGCCCGGTGCCCGGCGCCCGGTGCCCGGCGCCGCTGGCTACGGCCGACTCCCGGCTCCTGACGTCCTCGGCTTGTCGGACTGGGAACCTGGCCCTCCTTCGTGGACGGGGCTCAGGATGGTGCCGGCCGCGTATTTCAGTGGTTTCGTTGCAGCCATCGGTGAGGGTGCTGGCGCGGCGGCGCTCAACTGGTGGTCTCCTTTACCTCTTACATCGTGATCAGGCCCGTACCAAATGACATGGTCCGCCGGGGGCTGAAGGCGACGGACAAGCTGCCGAAAAATATCTAAGGCCCGACAGCAGCGCTGTTTTGTCCTCTGTCATTTTGCCCGTGCTTTGGCGTGCACCAAGTGCCAGACTATCGACAGCCTCTGTTACCGCGTGCCGGTCTGCACATGCTGTAAAACGTCGCATTGTGCGAAACACTAGCAAATAGGGCATTCTTACTGTCCCGCTGTAAAGCCTGTCTGTCACCATTCTCTCGGCCTGTCAGCTTTCCCGCTTGTCGCCTCCGGTTAATTAAGCACGTTCTCGATGTCTGAGGATGCACCAGTTCATTCTACGTAAGGTGCATTTTAGCTGTTCAACCAGTTCATCAGAATGCACCAGTCCCGTCTAAGGTAGATGCAACGAAAGTATGTGCATGATGACATTGGCTCGATCGCTTCCTCGGGTTTCGGCCCCGCCACCTAAACTCGCTCGATCGGGTTTCGGCCCCGCCACCTAAACGGGAAGAGCCACAGTAACTTCAGTGAAGCGTTGCATGGTGGTAGGGTAGGGGTTGGGGGGGGGGGGAGAGGGACCAACCATCCACCGGAAAGCCGGGTGGTTTCGTTTCCAGCATCAGGCTCTGCCATGCCGTATCTCTGCCAGCTGGGGCCTTCGGCCAAGGGTAGCCAACAGGCCGTCCTCTCTCTGGTGCTGGGGCCTTCGGCCTAGCGTAGTTGGCGGACCGCTCTGTCCCCAGTGCTGGGGCCTTCGGCCTGGCGTAGTTAGCGGGCCGCTCTCCCCCAGTGCTGGGGCCTTCGGCCTGGCGTAGCTAGCGGGCCGCTCTCTCCTCAGTGCTGGGGCCTTCGGCCAAGCGTAGTTGGCGGACCGCTCTGTCCCCAGTGCCGGGGCCTTCTGCCTGGCGCGGTTAACGGGCTGCTCTCTCCCCAGTGCTGGGGCCTTCTGCCTGGCGTAGTTAGCAGGCCGCTCTCTCCCCAGTGCGCGTCGTCCGCCAGACCGAGGGCATGTGCTGTAGCTTTTCCATCAAGCTGCCGGCCTCGCTGGCACTCCCGGCCGCCGCCGACGGCGACGACACGTCCGGGGACGAGGCGGATGAGCTGGACGAGCTGGATGAGCTGGACGAGCCGGACGAGTCGGGGCAGGGGGGCGGGGAGGAGGCGCTCCGGCCGCCCTCGGCAGTCGGCGCGGACTGAGCGCGGCCCGCGCACGGAAACGGTTCGTCGTTCGCCGTCGCCTCCTGCGGCGGCCGTGCCCCGTGGTGCCTGCCTGCCCCCTCCCCGCCCGCTCTGCAACCATTTTACTGCCCACCGGCTTATTTTTGGCGTCCGTGGCGGCGGCAGTGACTTTGAACTCGCCCGCTGGCTCGTCCCCCTCGTCTGGCTGACGCGGCAGCTCCCCCCCCCCCCCGTCTTCGCACCCCCCCCCCCCAACTTCTGCGGCGCTGCTCGCTGAGCGTGCGCGGCGGCCTGCCTGTTGCATGCGGCGGTACCCCTGCCCGGGCCGGCCCCGCGGCGGCAGCAGCTGCCGGCGCCGCTCCCCGGCCGCGGTCAGCGCGCACTCTGCGTGGTTCCAGTGCGGGCGGCGCGGCGCCGGTGACCGGGCCGGCGCGGCTCGCCGCTGGGGCGGGCCCGGCCTGGCCGGACCCCGCCGGTGCCTGACTCCCGCCGCCGCCGCCGCCGCCGCCGCTAGTGTAGGTGTGTGTGTGTGTGTGCGTGCCCTCCCGCACCCGTGCCGTCCCCGCACGACTAGCGTAGCCCCGTGACCGGCTGTGACTCTGCCTGTGACCGGCCTGTCCCGCGTCAGGACGCCACCGCCACCACTCTGTCTCTGTCTCCTCTCCGTGTCAGAGACCCTGTAGGCCACCGTGCGTGTGCGCGTGACCCGCTCTCAGTTTTGTGTCACTAACCCGCTCTGTTATTCTCTTTGCAGTTCGCCAGGCACGTCAGCAAGCTTCCAAGTCGAAATAAGCGTGTGTTTGCTCTGCATTAGGTATACTAATACACTTCTTCTCCCGTAATTTTTGCCCATTTCTTTCTCCTGTTTCGTAAGTAGTACGCTGCGTATTTCGCCATGTGCATGGTGCATTGCCTCGTTTGCGTTTCATGGAGATGCTTTTATGATGCAGTATTTTCGAGACTTGATTCGCCTAGTTGCTGTAAGTCATGTGTTGCACCAAGAAGTTTATGTTCTGTAAATAGACTGCCCAAATTTATTTGCATCTCTGCGGTATAAATCCAGCATTTATTGAAGAATCGTCAGCAACTTCTTTTGATTGTTTCTGTTTCGGTACAAAGATTGTGTGGACATATTGCAATTTTTTCACCAATTAGTGCGATGATGATCTCTTCATCACCTAATATTTCTAAAGTATGAGCATTCAAAATTGTCATGTTCATCGAAAGATCAGTACCACATTTTCCGATTGTTTTTCGAACGCGACCGGATGGATCGCCGTTCCAGAAATGTAGATTCTCAAGTGTTGCCAAGTCCGCACAATCTTTTGATCTGAAGAAATAACACCTTCCAAGGACTCTCCCATCGATATACTTGTGTTGCCCTCAGCATTTGCGGTGCTGTGTTTGGGGTGATTTGGTCTTAAGTTGGCATCGATGTTTGCAGCCAGCTAAGTGAACTGCCAAGAGAACGACGTCAGAAATAGTAATTTGCCAAGTCTAGAACTCATATGCCTCGTTGTAGAAGAACCCTGGATGATTTTAGAAACCTCTAAATGTTCTTCGAAATGTAGCACGTCTCAGCTGCAGATTCGGGTTGATATTGGAGCCTCTTTGGTATTACACTGGAAGGAAATTAGTCATATATATATATATATATATATATATATATATATATATATATATATATATATGTATGTATATTTGTGCATGTATATATGCTCAAGCATAAGTCTTAAGCAGGCTGTATCATGGGTACATATAACCCGGTCATTTTTTTCACATTTGAGGTGAAACGTTGCATGTGATTAGAAGTCGTGTTTCTTCAGTTGACTGCATGCTATCCTACTGCTGTCCACTGTACTTCTTAGCTAGACTGTCGCTCTGTCGCCAGCATGGCATACTCGAGGAGCACCATAATAAACCTGACCTAAACCGGGTCTCCATTGGTGACATTCCATGTATTTGACAGGTGGCGGCCATTTTGGGTTGACGGTGGTGGTCTGTGACTCCGGGTTTTTCCAGAACTGTTGGCTTGTTATCGTTTGGTTGAAATTTATGCCGCACTCACATTTTTGCTTTCTTTTCTCGGAAGACTGATGATTGTGGACAGCTTTAACGGAACATGGCCGGCTGGTAGCATTATGTTGTACATCTTGTGTTCTGTTCGCTTGTCTGGGCGCTAGAAGGACGCATGTCGTTGGTAACTGAACTCACTGTCGATAACGGAACCGTCTTTTACTTGCGCCCGCAGCTGTGTATGCTGTCTGAATAGGAACGCTACTCGAAACTTGCAGGGAAAGTGCATTAGAACTTGACCACATGATTAACATTTAGACAGTTATTGTATTGTGAGCAGACATTCATATGAAACCCTAATACAACGGGATAATTTGATATGGATCCCGTGCGCGTGATCGGTTCGAGATGTCTTTTTGTTGGTTTTTTGAACCATTTTATGTCGGATGTATTTTAAAATGACGTTTGTTTCTCGACTGGAATTTGCTACCTGTACAATATTCTTGTGGGTTTTGTTTAGAATTATACCGGGACGTAACGCATATCGGTTTATTTTATCATGTTCGTAGCAGATACGCGAAGATTTACAAAAGTTGTCAGAAGCTAAAGGAACGACATGATCACTTGAGTCCATCATAAGAACAGACATATTGAAATGCAGGCCAACGGCCTGGAAAAGCATGATTTGGTCTGGCAGTGTCGCATCTGTCACATTAAGTCCATACAGTACTGGCGACTGTGTGGGCGAATGGGGGGGGGGGGGGGGGGTAAGAGCCATGGTGCACTGCGAATATTGCGTTGTTCAAAACCGCACGTTCCGGACAAAATGAGTTAAAGCGAAGGATTTTCAGATTCAGGGAACGACAAGCACCATTTGTATGCCGCAGTATTACGTCGGAGCAATACCATATGCAGGTTCATGCATTATCGAGAGCATAAATCTGCAGAAAGTCAAAGAGGCGCCTTCCAATGTCTTCCCGCATTTCAGCAAAATCATCCACTTTCTACCATGGTCATGTTATGAAAACCAGGGAGTCAGTTCAATGGTGTCGTTCCTTGGCAGTTGGCTGCGCTGCCGCTGGACAGTGGCGCAGCTGGCGCTCTGAGACGTCTCTGTTCAGAGCGTCCGCCTTGTGAATCGCTCAGCGTGGCTTCGCAATCCGTTTGCCAGTCATGACTGTGCCCCCGTGATGACGTGGCAGCTGGGGCCGAGCGAGCCGGCGCCGTAACCGCCCGCCGCGCGCCCGCAGTGCGACTGAAACGCATCGGCCGAGCCTGCCGCAACGCCACTGCCGGCTTCGTCGTGCAACGCGTGCCGTGATGGCCAGCTGCCCCGCCGTCCGGCCGGCCCGCCGACCTCGCCAGCCGGCCGTCAGGCGACCGGACCGGACCGGACCGGACCGGACCGGGCGGCGCCCGGCCACGCGGCCGCCCGCCGCCGCCGCCGCCGGCGAGCGTCTAGTGTAGTGGCTCCGCTCTTGCTTCGCTTCCCTCCGTCTGTCCGCGCCTCTCGCTCTCCTCCGATCCGTCTGCCTCCTGGTTGGCGGTCGGCAGACCGCCCGCGAGCGGTCCCGTCCCTCCTTTGTGCCGCAGATCGCCCGGGGCGTGTCGACGCTCTTTTTACTTTTTACTCTTTGCTGAGCGGTGGGTGTACTTGACGTGGGCCTTGTTTTGACGCGCGGACTCCGGGGCTCCCCATTTTACACAGGACTCCGCTCTCGTAGTCGCCGCCGCAGTCTCATATTTTGTTTGCGAAACTGAGGTCTAGATCATAGGTGCTTGTCCGAGTGGAATGGTATTTATGGATTTATTTGTATCAAATAAAGTGCAAAATTGTATGTGGACTTTTGCTTGCACACGTCTTTCCTGACAGTGAATGCAAAATAGCGAGACAAGTCAGTTCGAACGCCCTCGCTGCCTCGAACGAATAACGAACATTGTTTTGTGATCCGACCGGTCACTGACGTAAGCGAAGAGCAGCGGCAAGTCGTAAGTCTGAAATGCGCGTGCCGCCAGGCGAGCCCACTTTCTGGCGCCTCATTCTCGGACTTCCGCCGGGGAGTACGAAGCCGGTGCGGCCTGGGTGGTCTGCCAGCATGTTTGCGGCCTCGTAACGCGTTTGCGAGTGATAATGCATTGGACGATAAGATCAACACAGCAGCAAACGGTAAGGACATCTGGACTCGCTTCAATGTTGTAACTTTCAATCGGGGCAAGCGGGCACGCGTGGAAAGCTCTCACGCCCCATCGCGGGTAACCGCGCGAGGAAAGGAACGCAACCCAACGCAACAGCTCAGGGTTCACAGCGGAACCGGCCGGACGACCCGCGGTCGCTGACCGGTCAGATGTTGTTGGGCGACTTCGCCACGCCTGGTGACGCGAACAACTTGGCGAGCAGCGAGGTCTGGCGCTGACCCGCCTGCGGGCTGACCGTCATCGGCGAGCTTCGCGCGGCGGCGGCGGCGGCCAGCTCGAACGGCCGCGCGCGCCGCACCACGTCCATATATGGACTGCTGGCGGACGTGCCTGTAGTCTGCGGCGAACTGCGGCACATCGGCTGGGAGCGCACCATGCCGCTCAGGAAGCCCGGCGACGAATCCCGCGGGCTACGGCGCGCCTGCAGCCGCGCCAGGTGCTCCTCCAGCTGCTGGCAGCGCGCCTCCAGCTGGCGGCAGCGGGTCTCCAGCTGGCCAGTGCCGCGCGCCTGCTGCCGCAGCGTGCACATATCGCTGCGCATGTGCTCGTACAGGCGCTGCCGGTGGCCGTTTTGAAAGTCGCTGACGGTCTGCATTTTCTGGGCTGCCTGTGTGAAGGACGCAAGGCAGCGACGCGCCAAGTCCATTGGATTGGTAAAGAAAACTTCCACGTCCGGTTTCATTTTGGACGATAGAGGTATTGTCTTGCAAATGGACTGACACACCTTGCACTTGTCATTGGCGCACGACATGCAGCATTGAGCGCAGAACACGTGCCCGCAACTAGTGAGCAAGAAACGCCGTTTTTCCTGACCTGGTTGAACGTAACAATTATTGCAATGGATCCAATCCATTGGTGCACTTGGATCACGCAGCATAAACCTAATACCGATACAGCTGCAATCCTTGTGGTCGTAAGAGACCTACCCCCGCACGACACCGAACTTTCCGACGGGTTTCGTATCTCTAACTAGCTTGCCACGGCAACAGCAAGGGACGTAAGAAACAAAAACAAGTTTGGTAGCATTGGAATTTGTACTGTGTTTCATAACTGACCAGCTTGACATGAGCATGTGAACAATTATGCTGCGCTGTATGAAAACGAGGATTATATGTACGATTTCAAGAGAAGTTAAATAAATGACCGTGGCTCTTTTGTCTTATCTTTATATAATGGTGATGTGTTCAGCTTCCATATTTGTGGACGGTAGTGGCGCAGTTGGGGCACAATACAGGCCACTTGACTAGTTTGCTGCTGTCTGGGAATTTGTGGGAGTGTGAAAGCTTGAAGGAGTGGTAGCATTCAGTTGCGTGTAAGGCACCTGCCTGGTGGGTTGGTGGAGCAGCTGGTGAGGCTTCATGTGATACCTGCTGCATTGCTGTACTTGTATCCTTGGCAAATTTTATGAATGGGATGGATGCATCATTTTTCCGAATGTGAACAGTGGGCAAGAAAGTGCGTGCACGCTGGTGATAGCTGAGTTGTGTTAGGTCTGATTTCTGCCCCATGAGTATAAACCCATCATACAAAATGAGTCAACCAAATGGAATTTTGTCCACACAGACAAGTATGAGACATAAGATGATCAGGCTGTGATGCATGGTCTGATCTTGAGTGAGGGAAATTGTGCATTTTTCCATGTTAAGTGTTCAGATTCAGTAACAGGCAAAGGTACGAGAAAAACCAAACCTGTATAAAAGTTTAGGTAATAAGTTTTGAGATTGTGCATACAGCTTCTATTGTGTCTGCATGGTGGGCTACATTAGGCATTATTGCTTTCAATAATTTCAATTGTAAAGTAATTAACCAAACAGAGGAAATATTCCTTGCATGCTGTTGAATACCAACAAAACATGTTCTGTGCACCTGTGTATGCATGATGCATAAGCATAATAATCTATTATGAGATCTTGCGATCTTGCTTTCTTGTTCCTGGTCCATTGCTTACAATGGCCAACATCAAGAGATTTGATGCTTTCTCCAATGGGTTGGTTTGAAATTTTGTTATCGGTCTTAGTAAGCTTAAGGGTCAGCATTAGCTGCTAGGTATATAAGTAATGTTTTTTCATATTTTTTGTGAGATTGAAGATTTGATATCAGCTACAGCATCATAAAAAGGCAATGCTTGTAAATATCTTATATCAACAGTGCAGCCAGAAAACAAGTTTGGGGAACCTTGTCTATTGGTGTCCTCCTTTCTCCAAGTGGGCCCTCTGGAGAAAAAAGCCTGCTGGCATGCAGTCAACAACATTTATGAATATTGCCAGGTTTGGCCCTCCACTGTTCTCCTACCATGAACTGCACCTAAAACAGCATCTCATCTCTGTTACTTTGTCATTGTATTGCATGGTAGTAGTATTGTTCTATTTGTTTTAAAAACACAATCCCAACCAGATCACAAAAGAACCTGTGATGCCTTCTTGGCTACCTAACACATACTAGCATGCAGAGGGGCTTTCTTCTCAACATGGTTGGGCCACACAAAATGCATATATTGACAATGTCTGGCAGCTGCATGCCCAGTACACCATCACGTAGCAATTTCTCTAGGAAATAGTCTGGGTGGGTACCTAAATTTATTCAGCGTTTTGTGTAAAAATGTTTGGACCTTAAAATCATCTTATTTCAGTGCTGCCATGGATACACTCTATGAAAACAATCTGTGTTTTTGTCATTATGTGTTGGCATGCTATTTAGGTATGTATGGTACATGTCAGGCTCAAAAGTCAGCTGATGTCCCTAACAAGTAATCAGAGAGTTTGACAACTTACAACTAGCTTGGTATGTTGGGATGTTGTATGCAAATCTTTCTATGGTTTTGATGGCAGCCATTTATGGATTGTGAGGCTAGCTGAGAAAACTGCATACATAATGTTTTAAGCCTGATCTGAGAATGTTATTAGGGGTAGCATGGACCATATCTATCATGCTCTGGACTGAGTGTCAAGGATGTACACTATCACTGTATTATTTGTGCTCAGCATCCATAATTATTGCCTTTCACAAGCACATGAAGTGACCCTTAAACAACATGAGCAGCATCACTTGTAGAAAAGGAAATGGAGGCATACTCACCAGCTGCCCACATACTCATTGTGGCATTTCAGGGTGGGATGGGTCGTCCTCCGCGCGCGTTTTCGGCGTTGGGGACCGGGCTCTCCTTCCCGTGCCATTCAGCGAGTCGCATTAAATACTGCCGCGGCTCCTACTTGTACTGCTGCATCAGCTCGACTCACATTCCACAGCGTCATCGGCTCCGCCTGACGCCGAGGCGCGCCGTTGCGCCGTCACGTGGGACACAGCGGTCAGCCAGGTAGCTGAGTTCGACGCGAGGAATGAGTGTGCATTGCGAGCTTCTCGAAAATAAGCTTTTGGGATGTCGTGAAATTGTCTGCTTCTCTCGAGACCTGTGGGGATACGTCCAGGACAATGCGCCTCGGAGGTTTGTGCATGCTCTCTGTCTCCTTAATGGTTGCAGCCATTCGCCGTATTCGCCTCCAGCGGCGTATCGTCATCGAAGAGAGCGATGGCTGCCAGGTGTTCACTCAGGCACCGGAGATTGCACCGGAATACCCGCGAGGTGGTCTTGCAGACCCCTATGTCCACCGTGCCGTAGTCAACCAGCGCCTTCAGCATCGCCTGGTCAGCTGGAAGGACAGCGGCGGGCAGGAGCGCCTTGAATTGGGCCGGAGCATCAAACGGCAGCGCGGGACGTCCCAGGCGTCGTGAGCCATAATGTCGAGATGCTGCCGGAACAGAGGGAGATTTATAGCCGGGATCACCTTGGCCACCCTCCGGGCGCGGGGAATGCCCCCGGTTGCATGAAGCGCACGCCTCGCTGGGGGCTCCACCGGGCGCCGTGGTCGCCGATTTGAACGTGTACGAACTGCTAGCGCTTCTTCATGTGCGAGAATGGTGGATGTCGGGACCAGAAGAGGTGCCGACGCACCCGCTGAAGACCTCCTCGGCCTCCGATTGTAGCACGTGGCGCCACCAGGTCGGGTTTAGCGACCGGTGGTGAAGGCCCCGCTCGATGAAGATGCAAGCACGCGAGAGGATACCGTTGTTGAAAGCCGTAGTGTCCGAACAGAGCTCGACCACGCAACCGACGATACCCCAGCTACCGAATGTGCCGTGCAGTGTCCACGTGCCGCGACCGGTTCCAGCGGGCAACTGGGGCAAGGCAAGAACGCCGTTGCCGCCGTCGCCGGACACGAGGAGGGCGATGCGTTCGACCTTGCTGCCGCGGAAGTCAGAGACATTTCGTCCGTGCCAGTTTAAGATGATCGGGATGCGGGGATCGAGAGTCTTCGTTACTTCGTTGGCGATGTCTGCGCTATGACGTCATCGCGAACGACGAATCGTCTCATGGCTGAGAGACAGTTCACTCGCGTGTTGGCCGAGACTGGCGGTAACGCTTGCTCCATGAGAATAGCCCCACGGCTGGTAGTTTCGGTCCGGTCCAGTGCCGATGCCAGCCATGGAGCACCAAATTTGCGACTGTGCTTGGGCAGGATAGCGGTTTTCCCTTCTTCCGACTCTGAGTTCGAGGGCGGCAAACACGTGGAAATCTGCACACGATGTAACATGATATCTGCACACGATAAACACGGTGACGGATATCTGCCGCTCCCAGCGCCTGCTTCGTCCGGCGCCTTTCATCCCGACGTCGACGTCCGTCGGTTGCTTCAAGCCGAAATAAACGTTGCTCTATCCCGACCATGGCCGTGCCATCACCCCCGGCCACAGCGCCACGGCGACCCTTGTCGCGTTCGGCAATAAATAAGTCGCGGTTCTTCCCCGAGGGTGATGACGGATAGAACGTTGTCTTAGGCCAGAGCAAAAGGCGCCGCTGAGCCTCGGTGAGGACCTCCCTCGTTACCTTGCCATTCGGAGCGGGTCTTTACCAACTCGACTGCAATGCCTGCCACTGTCCGCAGGGCGCAAACAATTGTCGCGCGGCGCTTTCAGAGCTAATGGTCTGGATTCTGGCCTTGGCCCAAAATGTCTCGTCCTCTATGATTACACAGCCCGCTGCCGCGCGGAGACAGTTGTTTCACTTCACACTGTGAAATTGTGCAAACCGGCGGAGGACCTTGATCACCCATTGAAAGTAACGAGTTCCCCGCCAGGGGTTTGTGTTGGGCTGGGTGATGAGCCATAACTCGGTCTTAGATCTTACAAGTCCACGCATGTGTTCGTTGACATTGCTTCTGTCAATGCCCTTTGTACCATTAAGGTCGCCACAAAGCATGCTAGTAAGTAGCGTGATAGTATAGTGACTATTTACAGCTATCTGTGTCCTCCGTGGTTTGACTCACATGACTACGGCGCTGTTACAGTTGACCACTGGTGGCAGCTAACCACTAAGAAGACCCATCGTGTCAGCTGTCACACTTACCGGCTCACCGCTGTCGTCGGCTCCACCACCGCCCCATCACTTGCGCGGCCGCTCGCCTGTGAGCGTCACACGCGGCGCCGCCGTCCGAAGGCTGACGACGCCCCAGCACGCTATGTGACTGGACAATGGGCGTGACGGACGATATCCTGCCACGCTTCCAGCGGCTGCCGGCCGCTGGCGCGGCCGCCGGCTCTCGGCAGGGCTTCCGCTGCCGCGAGACGCACATCTTCCTCGCCATCGGCGTGACCATCGTGTTCATCTGCTTCGGCACCATCTTCTTCCTGCCGGACCTGGGCGAGAGCATCCGGCGCATCGACAGCCTGGGCCGCGTGCAGAAGCGCGTGCAGGACACCGCTGAGGGCTTCCTGCTGCCGCCGCCGCCGCACGCCGACGAGGCGCATGAGAACCTCCTGCTGCGCCACGACGGCAACCAGATCGAAGACCCGCACGTGGTGCAGGACCGCCAGAAACTCTATGACAAGGTGCGCTCGGCCGGCGCCCTGCCGCCGCCGCCGCTGGCCAAGCCGCGCCACGTCGACTCTGGCGACGTGGACAACGTCGAGGTGGACGAGGTGGAGCCCCCGGCGGCGCCGGCCGCCCCCGCGCCAGCGGACGGCGGCGGTTCGCGGGAGACGGTGGCGCCTCTCGTCATCGGTGACGACGAGGACCCCGACCCGGTCATGCGCCACCGCAGGGACACGGTCAAAAAGGTGAGCAGTCTGCGCAGCCGTGGTGGGAAGCTTATGTGCGGTGCGCTGTCCCTGTGATACTTGTCGAAATAGGTAGAACGTTTGGATTTCAAGTGGCGCCATGTTTGGAGTGGCCCCCAAACATCATGGCTGTCCAGCACACCGTCCGCACCCGGTCGCCGACCGGACGACCCCTGACTGACCGCCGCCGGCGCCGCCACAGATGATGGAGCACGCCTGGAAGGGCTACCAAATGTACGCCTGGGGCTCGAACGAGCTCCGGCCGGTGAGCAAGCGCGGCCACTCGGCCGGCATCTTCGGTCGCCGGCCGATGGGCGCCACAATCGTCGACGCCATGGACACGCTGTACATCATGGGCATGACCGAGCAGTTCGCCGAGGGTCGACGCTGGATCCAGGAGCACCTGGACGCCAGTTCGCTGGTGGGTGCATGGTCGCCGGCGGGCGGGCGTCCCCCCCCCCCCCCCCGCTGTGCCGTGTCGCAGATGGTGTGTCTGTGGGGTGAACATGATCGGATGGCAGGGAGAGTAGGCTATACACGGACAGTTATGTTAAACACATGATATTTGGTTTACAATCAAAATACTTTGCGATTTGTATTATTTTGCATTTCATTTTTAATGCAATTTAAGCTGACACGCTCGTTTACATTTTGGAGGATGAGCATTTAGGTTTGTGTGCGCGTGGTTTGTCCACGTGTTGAGTTCTTATCTTTAAAATAGCTGTGATCATGCTCACCTTGCTCATGGTCACTGGTGACCGTCAACACTGCCTTAAAACGTCGAGTTTCTCATATATTAACATTTCAGTAGCTGCCCCACAGCGTCCTTTAACGAACACCTCCTGGTATCTTGAAGATCGGTTATTTTCAACACAACTCACTTGGCTCTAAACGGTTTATGTGCTCGTAGATGCATGGTTCGGAGAAAACAGATTTTGAGACCAATATAATGGGCTTTTTGATCGTGATAGAACATCAAAACACCACGCAGGTGGGACCCATTGTGAATAGTTGTGCCGGGCCAGGCCCAGCTGGCTACCCGGCAGGCCAGGTCCAGCGGTCCCATCGCCGCTTGGTGCGCTGTGACGTCTGCCTGGCCGCAGGACTCGGAGGTCTCCATATTCGAGATGAACATCCGGTACGTGGGCGGCCTGCTGTCGTGTTTCGCCATGACCGGGGACGTCTTGTTCCGAGACAAGGCGCATGCGATCGCCCGGGCCCTGCTGCCCGGCTTCAACACACCCACCGGCATCCCCTACAGTCTGGTGGTGCCCACTACCGGGGTAAGTGTCACTACATTCCCTGCTGTCTTGTGGTGCCCACTACCAGGGTGAGTGTTACCACATCCCCTACAGTCTGGTGGTGCCCGCAACTGGGGTAAGTGTCTCCACTTCCCCTACAGTTTGGTGGTGCCCACTACCGGGTGAGTGTCACCACATCCCTACAGTCTGGTGGTGCCCATTACTGAGACGGGTGCGACCTTTCCCTTTGGCGTTCTAGTGGTATTTACTACCATGGTATGCACCACCATCTCATGTAATTGTTCCGTGGTGTTGCTGCTGGGGTAAGCGCCACAACTCCCCATGGTCTGGTACGGTGTACAAGTGGGTCAAGCATCGCTGCCTCCCACATGCCATCGCTGCCTCCCACGCGACGTCGGCAGATGTTGGGTTACGATCGGGAGACTTTAGCTGGGTGTGAAATGGGCCACCGATATAACTCCAGGTCTGGAAGTTGTGTTGGATCTAACTCTACATCACAGTACTATCTGCTGAAGACATCCTTCGTTTCGAAGTCCTTTCGGCTCTTTCGGGACCCTGAGATGCGATGCTACCTGCTTGTGCAACATTCACGATGTTTTTGTTGACTAACTGTACGTTCTGTAGCATGATTAAAATTGCGATCTTTTATTTTTCACGCATACTTCAAGCCTATTGTTGTTGCTATTTTTATTTATCCAGCCCATTTATACAGATGTACCACCAGTGGGTTGTCCTCACTATCTGCTGTGTTCGCCTGGGAGAACTGTGCTGGGATGGTTCTCTTTACCCCAGTGATAAATTTTTATCCGACTCGGTATGTTGACTTGTGCATAATGGCCTACTTCTCTCCATCCTGCATATCCCATAGAAGCCTACTTTTTCCATGGTACGATCACTTCACCCCAAATGTAGTTTTTCAGTTTTATTATACAGCTGGTTGGAGTAGACTTAGGGATAAATGAAGGGAACTCTGAGTAATGTGTTGGTCATTGGAAACTTAAGCTGCAGAATCCTGGATCGAGGATCATCAGCGCTTCTAGTCATGGACTCCTAGGCATGACCGGGAACCTCAGCAGCCTGAGACATCCCAGTTCTCGATCCTTTAAAATCCTTCGGAATTTCGTAGGACGCATATCGCTATGGATTTGCGTTCTTGTTTTAGTTGACTTTGAATCTGTTTTGGATGTTGTCCTGATCTGATATTGGATTGAGTGTATTTCGTTCTCTTGTGTGTGCCTTGGACGTTGCTATTTATTCTATGGCGACGAATGAACGCTATGCCATGAGCCAAAGCTGCCTTTCATTGTATGAAGTTCTGATAGGTGTAACGAACGTCACACGTTGCCGATCTGGCCTACTGCATTGCAGTATTAAACATATGTGCTTCCATCGTGTATCTCTTGCATGTGCAAGTGTACCATCCGTATCACTTGATACAGACGATGCATCTCCACGGTGACATCGACCTGCCTCCAAACATGCCCCTGCTAAAACTCCGTTGTGGCAGAACTTCGTAAGCTTGCAGAACTCAAATGTCAGTCTAAAACGCCCAAGACACGTACGCTTCATTGGTGTCCTCCGCCGCCGGTGCTGTTAGCGCCATGGCCGTGGCCCTCATGCGTTCCTGCGGTGCCTGCTAACCCATGCACCAAGTGTTGACGTGGCGCACACGGTGCCCCGTGCTCGCCTCTGTGGCGCGGCGTGCTCGGAGCGGCGTCTGACACGTGCGCTGCGGCCCCCAGCGCGCCAAAAACTACGGCTGGGCGTCGGGCGCCAGTTCGATCCTCTCCGAGTTCGGCACGCTGCACATGGAGTTCAGCTACCTCTCGGACGTCACCGGCGACCCCGAGTTCAGGAAGAAGGTGGAGCGCATCCGGCAGGTGGTGCGCAAGCTGGACAAGCCCAACGGCCTCTACCCCAACTACCTCAACCCCAAGACGGGGAAGTGGGGCCAGCGTAAGTAGCGTGGGTTGGCCGGGCCCACGTACAGCACGGCATAGTACCGGGGTGTGTGGGACGGCCCGAGTACTCCCCGCAGGTGGACACTCGAAGAATTGTTATCGAGAGTTGATGTAATGTGAATTCGGTATAACGTCTGGCGGGTACATGTGTGTTTATGTCTCAACCACACGGGTTATGCACGTCGAATTGGGGGACAGACGACGAGGAGCGCCAGAGGTTTCGGTGCTGAGTGTGGACGGCGCGGCCTGTCGCTGGGAGCCCGTTCCTCGGCCCGGCCCAGCTGGGCCCGGCGCGCCGCTCCTGACCTGGGTCGGCGCCTGTGGCAGGTCACATGTCTGTGGGCGCGCTGGGCGACTCGTTCTACGAGTACCTGCTGAAGGAATGGATCCGGAGCGGCGGCGAGGACGTGGAGGCGCTCGAGATGTTCCACCACGCCATCGGCAACATCACGCAGCGCCTGCTGAAGAAGTCCAAGGTGTCCGGTCTCACCTACATCGCCGAGATGCAGTACGAGCGGCCCAACCACAAGATGGACCACCTGGCCTGCTTCATCGGTGAGCGGCGGGCGGGTGTGAGCAGTGGAGGGAGGGGGGGGGGGGGGGGGCGCTGTCCCGGATCGGCGCAGCACACGCTAGCAGCTCCTGCGGAGCGCGGAGGAGGAGATAGGGTGAATGCCCTGTGCTCGACATATTTACCTAGACTTTGTTTTCATATTATGTATGTGACATATGCATCATAAGATGTTTTTGGCATGCGATAACTACGAACCGGCGGGTGTTTCAGTGGTTTACGCGCGATGGATACGCCACTGTAACAGTAACCGACAGCCGTAGTTTGTGAGGTTGTTGACGGTGACCTGTGTGCCGGTGACGTGATCGTTGGCATCCTGCCGTTTAGTTGTGACCCGAGCCCGCAGATTTGTCGTGCGTGGGACAGCGGGACCTGCCATCGGGCCGTGACCTGCCGCTGCGCCGTGACCTGCCGCTGTGCCGTGACCTGACGCTGCGCCGTGACCTGCCGCTGTGCCGTGACCTGACGCTGCGCCGTGACCTCCCGCTGTGCCGTGACCTGACGCTGTGCCATGACCTGACGCTTTGCCGTGACTTCACATCGGGCCGTGACCGGCTGCTGTGCCGTGACCTGACTTTGGGCCGTGATGTGACGCTGTGCCGTGCACTGACATCGGGCCGTGATCTGACGCTGCGCCGTGACCTGCCGCTGTGCCGTGACCTGCCGCTGTGCCATGACCTGAGGCTGTGCCGTGACTTGACATCGGGCCGTAACCTGACATCGGGTCGTGACCTGACGTTGTACCGTGACTTGACGCTGTGCCGTGACCTGACTTTGTACCGTGACTTGACGCTGCGCCATGACCTGACGTGCCGTGACCTGACGCTGTGCCGTGACTTGACATCGGGCCGTGACCTGACGCTGTGCCGTGACTTGGCATCGGGCCGTGATCTGACGCTGTGCCGTGACTTGACGTTGTGCCGTGACTTGACGCTGTGCCGTGACTTGACGTTGTGCCGTGACCTGACGCTGTGCCGTGACTTGACATCGGGCCGTGACTTGACGCTGTGCCGTGACCTGACGCTGTACCGTGACTTGACGCTGTACCGTGACTTGACGCTGTGCCGTGACTCGACGCTGTGCCGTGACCTGACGCTGTGCCGTGACCTGACGCTGTGCCATGACCTGAATTCCGTTTGCCAACAGGCGGCCTGTACGCGCTGGCGGCCGTCACCGACTCCAACAAGAACTCGGAGCAGTACGCGCGGATCGGCGCCGAGATCACGCACACCTGTCACGAGTCCTACGACCGCACGGCCACCAAGCTCGGTCCCGAAAACTTCAGGTGCGCCCCGCCGTCGGCGGCCGGTCGGGATACCAATGCGGGCTGACCCCATCGTGGTGGCCATAGTCGGCGCCACGCGCGCCGCGACCCCTGGTACTCCGGTAGCAGAGCCGGCTAGCTCAGTGCCCGTCCCATGACTGGAGTCGGCCCGTGCCGCCCTTTGGGCCGCTACACAGTTTGGCTTGTTTGACCCAGTGGATTCCAAGCGTGCTGTGTGAGGTGGTGAGCCGGCCGCTGGAGGACGGCCGAGGAGCGCCTGTCTGCATGTCACTGGGCGGCGTGACCTATTGTGCATGCCAGACGGAGAGGGGAGGGGGGGGGGGGCAGGAACACCATTACTAACCCGCGCGCTGTGGCGCAGGTTTTCGGACGCCATCGAAGCTAAGGCCATGAAGATGCAAGAGAAGTACTACATCCTGCGGCCCGAGGTCATCGAGAGCTACTTCGTGCTCTGGCGCATGACCGGCGACAAGAAGTACCGCGAGTGGGGCTGGGAGGCCGCCCAGGTATGTGCCACGGTCTGCACCTACCGCGGGTGGAGCTGGGAGGCCGCCCAGGTATGTGCCACGGTCTGCACTTACCGCAGGTGGGGCTAGGAGGCCACCCAGGTATGTGCCACGGTCTGCACCTACCCCGGATGGGGCTGGGAGGCCACCCAGGTATGTGCCACGGTCTGCGCCTACCGCGGGTGGGGCTGGGAGGCCACCCAGGTATGTGCCACGGTCTGCACCTACCGCGGGTGGGGCTGGGAGGCCACCCAGGTATGTGCCACGGTCTGCACTTACCGCAGGTGGGGCTGGGAGGCCACCCAGGAATGTGCCACGGTCTGCACCTGCCGGGGGTGGGAGCCCGCCAGCCAGTATGTGCTGTCTGCGGCAAGGAGTGCGGCTGCTACGCTGTTAACTAATTCGTGGGCAGGACAGGCAAGCTTGAGCGAGCGAGAACGTAGGCAGGGCGGGGGCTATTGGAACCCATCAGACTTATTTCAACTTGAGAAACTTAGCTCTGTCGTTGTACTTTAAAGAAGTTGATATCGTAGCGGCCATTCGTCACAGCGTGATTGAGTTTTCAGTGGGAGGAGGTATGGTTCTTTAAAGATTGGCCAATCTAATCAAAGCTTACTCAAATTTTCGTCACCTTATCTCCAATCATCAGCCAAGCTTTCTTTCTGCTGATTGGGTCATCTTTAACCATGGGAAGACGAGCAAAAGATATGCAATAGCACGTGGCTTTCGATTAGCAGTAGAAACTTATCAGTTGCATTGCGAAAAAGCGCGGATTGAAACCTGGTCCGTACATCGGTGAACAGGAGCTGCGTGGACATGGGACCGGCACCATTCGATAGGTGGGGAGAACGAATGGTCTCATCAACGAAAGCGTGGGTTGACGCATCGAGTTTTTATGGACCTAGTGAGGTCAGTAATTGACGAGAAGACGCACCGTGCGGTCTTGAGAACCAGGCTCGAACATCACCGACTGCGGCCTGACTGTCAGAAGTGGATTAGGGCATGACAGTTCGGTGTCACAGTCATGGGAAACAGGTCATTCAGGAGTCGCTGTTTTCGTTGCTGAAATGACGAAGCCTACCGTGACTCACATCCAGCCACATTGAAACAATGCGATCTCGGAATCAGTTCGAAAGCTCCTTAAGCGAACCCCTCTGCCTGGTCGTTATGATGGCAGTCTCTGACGAGAACCATGTGTGTGGTTTCTCAAAGGTGTCTGGCGCCATTCGGTTGTGCTTTCGTTTTCTTTAAAACATTTGCACGCGGGCTGTTTGACGGGACACGACTTTCCTGTGACATTGCAAAGTGGACAAAGGATACAAGTCCCGTTCGGTTGGCAACGGTACCGTGAAATTGCTGGCACGGTAGCACATTGATGGCACATTTTTCACTTCGCTTGTCCTATGTTGTGGAAGGCGCCTTGTAGGACTAAATATGCTGTTGATTCACCCGCACGTAATCGTCAGCAGCGCAGTTCCTTCCATGAGCCCACTAAATCCTGGCATAAGTATGATTGAATAGGGTGCGGCCTAAAGTAGAACTTCCAAGCCTGCGTGACGAGGTAAACCACACATTCTCAAAGACGCCCACCTGCCGCCGACGGATAAGCGCCCACTAAGCGCCCTTCAGCCCACAGTTGCCAACCGTCGAGCCTCTGCCCTCCCCAGCCCCTCCCCCACCCCCACCCCCACCCCCACCCCCACCCCCACCCCCACCCCCACCCCCACCTCCAGACGGCCGGTTTTTGCCTGCGCCCCGTGGCGTCTGCACGGTCCGACCTTTCCACGCGCTGACCCCCGCTGACCCCCACTGACTTCCGGTGACCCGACAGGCAATCGAGCGTCACTGCCGGGCGGAGGCTGGCTACTCGGGTATCCAGAACGTCGAGTCGTCCAGCCCGCGCCAGGACGACGTGCAGCAGAGCTACTTCCTCGCTGAGACACTCAAGGTAGGCCGTTGAGACGCCCGCGCACCGACACAACACAGAGTGACGTCACGCAGGCGGTGGAAGACAGTGGGCTACCGCTGGGGAGTCTTCTCCAGGGGGCGTGGGGTGTTGCAGCGCCTGCTAGGTTTTTGACCGGGCATTGGACGGGTTTTTGGCCGTGTCTGGGATGGGCTTGGTCCTTGGTCACTGGGATGAGTCTCGAGTCCTTTTGCCTGCTAAATTATAGCTGCTCAACGAGAGCGTCTGTCGGAGTCCTTATGACCTGCCTGTTCTCGCGCTTGATCTGTGGCCAGCGTCTGGCTGCGTCGTCCGTGAATGACCGTGTTGTCATTAGCCGTCGGTGTCGTCTGTGTCCCCCTGTGTCGTTAGTAACGCTATGCAACTGTCTGTGATGGTGTTGAAATGTGTTGTCAGTGACAAACCTCGTGGTCGTGGATGCCCGTGTTGTTAGTGTACGTCAGTGTTTGCATGTGTCATCAGTGTTGGCATGTGTTGTCAATAGGTGCATGTTTTGGCGTTGTTCGCGTATGATGTTAGGGTTTGCCGGTCGTAGCGTCTCCGTGTGTTTACTTCATCTGTCTGTGACTGTCTATGTGTCTGCTCACTGGTGCCAGCCTGTGCTGACAAGCGTTTGCCTGTATTACCAGTATTTGCTCCGCCCGCCTTGTCAGCGTTTCCCTGTATTGGCAGTGTCTGCTTGTATTTCCATGCATTGTTGGTGTCTGTGTTGTTAGTGTCTGGTTTAATGGCACTTCTGTCTGTATTGTGGGTGTCTGTCTACGCTTTCGGCACCTGCCTGTGCCGTTAACGTCTGCCTCTGGTCTCTGCCTATGTTCCCAGTGTATGCTCGAGTCGTCGGTGCCTGCTCGCTTTGCCTGTGCGGTCATGTGCAGCCATTAACGGTTGGCTTCGCATGCCTTTGTCGCCATGGTTACCCTGCACCACTATCGGCGCCGCCTGTGTTCGCAGTACCTGTACCTGCTGTTCAGCGACAAGTCCCTGATGCCGCTGGACGAGTGGGTTCTCAACACGGAGGCTCATCCTCTGCCGATCCGGGGCGCCAACCCGCTGTACCGTGAGTGGCGCGCCACCTAGTGACGAATCTCGGCACCCGCCTGTGATAGGGCCGAGTGGGGGCGCGGCCGGTCGGCGGGCGGCAGTCGGTCCGCCGGCCGGGCCGTGTCCGCCGCGCTCCGTCCGTGTGGGCCGGGCCGCGGCTGCAGTGCGACCACGGCCGGCGCGGTGTCGGCCGGCGCCGTGGACCAACGCCCGGGCCGGTGGCGCGACCCGACCGGCGCGGAGAGTGGCTCCGCCGCCGCCCCGGCCGGACGGGCGGCCGCTCCCGCAGGCGGCTGCTCATCGCGGGGAGGGAGCGGCGCGGGCCGCCCCGGAGCGGCCGCGGAGCGCGCGAGTCATCCGCTGCCACGTGTCATCCGCTGCCACGTGTCATGAGAGATCTGCAGCAGCCGTGCCAACGAATATCGATATTCCTCGCCACGTGCAACGACAGTGTGGATCTGCGCGAAACTAATACGAGCGTCTGGCTAACGAGCGGGTGCGGGGCTGGGGTCGCCACGGTGTGTTGAGTTTGTTGTGTGGTTCCGAACTGTTGAACGTGCCGTCCGATGCGGGACCGAGTGTTGCGGTCGTGGAGGAAGGACTTCTTAGGCCCGGCGAGGAAGAGGCGCTTGTGGGGCCGCCACTGGCGGGCGTTACGGCTCGGTACCCACGGGCTCGAACTGCACTGCCAAAGCAAGCTCGGCCTCCAAAGATCGCGACAAGAACACGCTGCAGCGTCGTGCCGGCCGTTGACGTTCTGGTTGCAGCGCGTTGACGTGCTTTGGAAAGGTGTTGTTTGCCTTTTTAGATATTTAAATAATTGTTCCATCGCCTCAGATTACGGAAGCCGCTATTTTCCAGCGTTGTTGTACGTTGATTGAGTGGTGGCGAGGCTTGTAGACATGCGTCGTTTTAATTCACTGCGTGAACATGCGTGGGCAGTTGTCGGCATGTAGCAGGTGTTCGTAGACTAGACTGTTGCCCGCTGTTGCCGAGCCCTCTTACCTGTGAGCCTTTACAGGCGTTTTATCCAATTCCCGTGACAGCAGACCAATATCACGTGGCGGCCGCGCCCCTGGGGCGCACCCTAGTGGCGCTCCTAACGATCTGAGCGGCGGACCTCGTCTGCCCACTGCCGTATCAACAGAGGACCGGCCGGCGTCCCTCTTGCTCCGCGCAGTGTCTCCGGGCGAGGAGGGCGCGCCGCCGCGGCGTGCCAGGCGATCCGAGTGTGCGCGTGCTGAGCCGGCCGCCGCCGCAGGCCAGGCTTCGGGACTGTCGAGCCGTCGTCGCGTGTTTGCAAGCTTTGGCCGCGCTGCGCTGTGGTGGGCCAGGGGCCGTGGTTTGTGTTCGCAATAAAGCCGGAGCCGTTCGCAGGAGGGCGAAGCCTGTCATGGGAGAAGCCGCTCGGCGGCAGGGGTCAGGCGGCGTGCTCGGTGTGTGTCGCGGGCGGCGGGAGCGGCCGGTCCGCCGACACTCGCGCCACTGTCTCGCGCCCGCGTGGCGGCAACTGACGGCTCGATGGCGGGCTCGCCGCTCGGGCCCGCGGGCCGGTAGCGGTCTGGAGGGTGCCGCACCGGCCAGCGGTCGGGTGGCGTGCCGTGTGATGCGGCCGCTCGACTTCCCGGGCCATAGCCCGGACGGGGTGCCATCAACGGCGTCAGATTCGTGCCCACGTGACCCCGTCGGACAGCAGCGCCGCCCGCTCCCGACGACTGACGCCCCGCCGCGGCCGGCTGTCCCCTCGTGGTCGCGACTAGAGCTGACTGCGCGCCGTTCCTGACTACACTGCTCCCTGATGTGGGAGCCCTGCCCCCATCGCTAACCTTAGAAAAACGCCGTTGTGTTTAATGCGATGTATTCATTCGACACCAATAGCCCAACACACGCAGGTATCACTTCGGCGTTGGTTAGGCGGGCCCAGACATCGGGTTACGCCGAACGATGGCGTGACTCGCCGCCGAATCACGCCGGGCAGAGGCGGCGCGACTCGCCGCGCCGCGCCAACAAGGGCCGTCTGTGGAGGAGGGACACGGTACGGCCGCGGCGGGGCGGCGCACGCGGCTCGCGGCCGTCAGCCAGGCACCGGCCGGGGGTCGTCAGCACGCGCCCCGCGCGCCGCCGCCGCCGCACGTGGCCCACACAAGGGAGCCTCCACTCGGCAGCGCACGTGACAGCAACGGCGACGCGGGGCAGTCGACCGGCGAGCACCGGCGCCTGGCGCAGGCGGACGACAGAGGGCGCGACGGTGGCAGCGGACGCGGCCCGCCCTCACAGCCGGCGGAGCGGCGGCGAGGCGCTGGCGGGCCCGCCCCGCGGGCGGCGCCACCTTGACGGAGGCGCGCATCGTTAGTACATGCCGTTCAAAAGCGTACTCGGACATCACGAAAGGACTCCGGGCTGAGTTAAACTCGTCAGTATGTCATTCAATAATAACCAGAGGCGAGCAGCTACAGACGGCGGAGCCGCGTACCACCTCCAAGATTTCGCCGTGCCATCTATGCGCTAACACATCGACTAGCCACCTATCACCGGCCGTCCGCATCGGTGCCGTTATAAAACGATCTCGCGACGCTCGCGCTCGTCTCGACTGCAGTTGGCGTGCAGTGTCGAGTTCAGCGTCCAAGCCGCAGCTCGCGCACCGGCTGCCGGCCAACGCGGGCCGATCTGTCTCCACAAATAGCTCGTAAATCACCGGTCATCACAAGAGAACACCTGATAAGGCTATGGCTGCGGATCTTCCGCCGGGGGTTCGCGGGAGACCGCTGTCCTGCCGGGTTTTGGGAGGGCCACTATCTCTCCGCCAGAGGTCAGGGCAAGCTCCACGCGTCCACCGGACTGTCGGGGTGACTGCTGTCCCTCTGCCAGATTGCTGGGATGCAGCTGATCCTCAAACGGATTGTCAAGGTGGCCGCTCTCCCTCCATCAGACAGCTGGTGGGACCGATATCACTGTACTGAACAGTTCGGATGGCCGTTGTCCCTCCAACGAACCGTCGGGACGATTTCTGTCCCTCTGCTGTCCTTTCACCAGACCGTCGGGATGATCACTGCCCCTCTGCCGACCTTTCACCAGACTGTCGCTGTGCCTCTGCTGTCCCTTCACCGAACCTGTCAGCTGGTGGGACCGTTATCACTGTACTGAACAGTTCGGATGGCCGCTGCCCCTTCAACGAACCGTCGGGATGATCACTGTCCTCCTGCCGTCCCTGCACTGGACTGTCGCGGTCCCTCTGCTGGACTGTTCGGGTGGCAGCTGATCCCAGCCGGCCTGTGCGGACTTTCGCCGCCCTCCACACCGCGTCGAGATGACGGCTCTCCTTCTTCGGACCGTCGGTCACGGGCCGCCATCAGGGTCGGCCCTCCTGGTGTCCGCCGCCGCCCTGGGGAGGCTGCCGCCTCCAGTGGGGCGGGCCCGGCGCTGGCGGGGGTCGCGCAGGCTAGTAGCCGTTCACTCGCCGTCCCTCCTCCAGCTTGGCGAAGAACGGGTGCCTGGAAGCGATCCCAGCCAGGTGATGAGCCACGGACCTTGCCAGCAGATGGCGGGCCCACTGAGCTGATGTACGGTAGCCAAGTGCGGCCGCAGTCCGTCAGCCTGCCACTACCGGACGCACGCGCGGCCAATCCGTCGCTCCGCACGGGTTGGCGCTGGCGGAGGAAAAGGGGCGGTCCCTACTCGAGAAAAGGGGTAGTCCCTACCCGAGAAAAGGGGCAGTCCCTACCCAAGGTATTCAGGGGTGCATTCCGTGGGGTACCGTGGGGTGGATCAGAGGCAGCGACTGCCTTAGCGAACGTTGAAGACTGGCTGGCTCGGAATGGTCGATGCATGTTCAGTACGGGAAAACTCGAAGGGAACAATTAATATCAAATATTTCACGAGACTGCCCGTGGCTAAGGCACTTAGCCTTGATCGGAGCGCTTTCAAGTCTGTGAAAGCCTATAACCCCAACAGTCTTAAAGAATTCCTGGAGTCGTTGCGTGCCGTGCACTGCTGCTGCGAGTCTGTAATTACGCCTGCAGGCCGCCCGTTCTTGATATGAGCCCCGCAGCGCTCACCGTTCAACCGATGTTTCGTAGAGTCTATTGAACCACGCCAAGAGCGCTTAATTCTGCCCCATCACGGCCAGCTTGCGGCGCATCGCTTTGATAGAAGTCTGACGGGTCTGCACATTAGGCTCCCTCCGCTGAATACAGAGCGGCGCTAACTCAAATGGCCCAGTCGCGCTGCGCTGATCAGCCCTCTGATGATCAGCTCGGCCCTCACCTGATGGCGTCCCTCAGCGTGATCCGCTGACTCGGCTCGTACTCCAGCATCCTCTGGATGAGATCAAACAGCTGCACGTGCTCCACGTCCGTGCCCTGCATGTAGCGCTGGAACGGACGGTCGGTCGCCGGGGTCAGCCAGCACGCAGCGGTGGGCCGACAAACGCCGCAGCGATCCACAGCCCCGGACCCGGCCTCAGTGCGACGGCGGCTCGCAGGACGGCCCAAGCGGCGGCCTGCGGGGCTGCCCAAGCGGCGGCCTGCGGGGCTGCCCAAGCGGCGGCCCGCAGGACGGCCCAGGCGGCGGCCTGCGGGGCTGCCCAAGCGGCGGCCCGCAGGACAGGCTCGCAGGACGGCCCAGACGGCGGCCTGCAGGGCTGCCCAGGCGGCGGCCCGCAGGACAGGCCTGCAGGACGGCAAAGGCGGCGGCCCCAGGACGGCCCAGGCGGCTGCCCAGGCGGCGGCCCGCAGGATAGCGCGGGCGGCGGCCCGCAGGACAGGCCCGCAGGACGGCCCAGGCCGCGGCCCTCCATCGAACGGACGCGGCGAATGTGCGACAACGGAAGACGATAGTCAAAACAAAGGGCCGCAGCGGTCAGCGTCCCCGGAGAGGCGGATGTCGACTTCCCGAGCGGACTGCAGGACGTGGTCGGCCGGGGCGGATACGGAAACGTAGCAAAAGAGTGGCTTCCGCGTGCGCATTTAACTCCATAGATAAAACCTCGAAAGGAAGGGGTTACAAAGCTCCGTGTAAACGTAGGGATTCCTGGACCTCCAATAACATCACGGGATTCTAAGCATGACCTTAGGTCTCAAAATCGGGTCCCAGGGGCGGAGGTGACCCTCAGTGAGAGAACATGTTTTCCAATTTCATGTCATGCAATGCAGCACACCAAATTGTACTATTGCAAAGCCTCGAGACAAGCAAAATAAGCCATTACGGGGAGGAACAACTGGCCCCTGTATATTGCACGGGACGAAATCCGCGTTCCTATGGGAGTCCCACGAAATTGGACCACCCGAAAGAAAATCACGCTTTCAAACCGGTTGAATGACGTTTGGAAAGGGACGCGATAGCACAAATTGTGAGTGAGACATGATGTAAAGACCAGTAGACGAGGCCGCCCAGTGGGACACCGGCGTCTGCAGAGCAGGGTCGGGAGCATTAGCCCCTGCCTCGCCCCGGACTGTAGAGTACGCTGCTCACCCTCAGCGGCTTGCAGTTCTCGCGCACGTAGCGCGCTGCTGACGTCTTCTCGTCCCAGTCCAGCCGCCCCCGGTAAAAGTACTTGGTCTTCGACTTCTGGCTCATTCTGAAAATACGAGGAATCCGTCATCCAAACGGCAAATGTTGTAAGTAACAGACCGGAAATATTAGCTGGGTTTGAGGCCAAACTTCACGTCGTGCTACTTAAACTATCAGCTCACAAAGGTGCATACGCGGAAACAGTTCACTGAAGCGCGGAGATCCAAACATTTGCAGTGCGTCACCGGAAACCAACAGTTGACTTGATGCAGGCAAGAGGAGCCGCAGTCTACCACAGACAGACATCACAGACTCTCGTCATGCTCCGATAGCGGTCGATCGAACACAACCTGACCGCGGTATGGTCGCCGGACGATGTTTTGCAGGAGATTGCACGATCGATATGCGCGGTGTGCACAAACATTGGAAATTACGCACTTCAGCACTGGGGCGCACTGCCCTATCGCCCTTGCAAAGTGTGTCTAATCGGCTCAAGCGATAACAAAGACCAAACATTCCAGCTCCAGTCTGAGCAAGGGATGTCACTCAGCCCCAATCGCCAGACAGCGTCCGTGTAAGTCAGAGGTCACGAGGTTACTGATCTCACCACTCACACCCGCCTATACATAATGTAAAGGCTGAAGCTCACAACGGACGTCATCACTTCTCCACGTCACCGTTCCTCACCGGGCTAACAGCACGGAGGTGGCGGTCTCCCCTCAGACCCCCGCCCCGTCACTGCAGGCGAGCCGCCCCGCCGGCGCCCCGGTCTGTCGCTGGCGCCGGTCCCTCCGCTCACCTGTACGGCATGGGGCCCAGAATGCGCTCCATCATGGCCAGGTGTTCGCGGTTGTCGTGCGTCTGGAAGAGCGTCAGGCCCAGGTAGAGCTCGAACAGGATGCAGCCGATGCTCCAGACGTCGCACGGCTGCGACCAACCCAGCTCTGCCGGGAGGCGTCACTCCGTCACTCGTCCATCCTCCGTGGCTCTATCCTGCCGGCCGATTCCGCCTCTGGAGCTCTCTCCTCTCCGTCCGCCCCGCCACCGTCACTGTCCCCTCTCGGTTCGCTCGGCCTCCGGTCATCTCCCCTCCCGGTTAGCTCGGCCTCCGTTCCTCTTCCCTATCGGTAAGCTCGGCCTCCGTTTCTCTTCCCTATCGGTAAGCTCGGCCTCCGTTCCTCTCCACTCTCGGACAGCTCGGCCTCCGTCGCTCACCCCGTCCGCCGGCTCCTCCTCCGTTACTCTCCCCTCGCAGCTGGCTCCGCATCCGTCCCCCTCCCCTCTCGGCCAGCTGGGTCCCTGTCGCTCGCCCCTCCCGACCAGTTCCACCTCTGCTCGGACGGCGACAGTCCAGGCCTCTGACGACCCCGCCGGTGTGCCGCGAGACGTCCTGAGTCGAGCGTGAGGGCTGGAGTTGCGTCGAGGCGCTCCTGGCATGGACACAGCTATCCACCAACTCGTGAGGGACAGAGACGCAGCGGTCGGCGCGCGTGAGCTGCCTTGTGCGTGTCGGCGCGTCTACGCGACCGCTTCAAAATCGATCGTTTCCACTTCGGCTCCCGTGCCGTTCCGCCCGAGTGGCTGTCCGCGTCGCTTCGTGGCCGGTGAGCCGTCGGGCCCCAGCCGTCGGCCGGCCCGCTACGGGGAGCCCGGGCCTGTCGGGTACCACGTGAGGTAGGTGCGCGCGCGACTCGGCAGTGAGATAGACTCGCGCTGGTGGTGGCGCACCAGCTCCTCCACCGAGCGGAAGCTGGCCTCGTCCGGCTTTGCGTACCCCAGCGCGAAGCGGCCGTCACTCCGCTGTCGCACGTTAAAGTTGTACAACGTGCCGGCGTGCAGGAGCGTGAGCGCGTACGGCGCGGCCGGGCCGCCGCCGCGCGACGGCCTCACCAGGAAGGCGCCATTGCCCCGACGCAGGAGAAGAGCACGCGCGCCGGCGCGGTCCACATCGTGGAACCAGGCCTGCTGGCGGAGGCTGGCGGCGGAGGGCGGCGGCGGCAGCGAGCGGCGTACCAGGGGACTGGCGCCCGGCCGCCACTCAGCGCTCAGCGGCTCGCGCGGCGGCACCGGCGGCACGCCGTCCGGCACCAGGTAGCCGTCGCCGTCGGCCGACGACAGCGGCGGCTTGGGCGGCCGCGGCGGCGCGGCGGCGACGGACGTCTCTCGGTCGCCGTTGGACAGCTGCACCGCCGCGGCCGGCGGCGCGCCGTCGTCCTTGGGCCCGGCGTCGGCGGAGATCGGTCGAGCCTTTTTTGCTCCGGCGGCCGCAGCATCAGCTTGATGAGCTGTTGTGACGGCCACCAGCGACGTTCTCTCGAGTGTTCTGAGCACGCGCTCGTTTCCGGCACCCACCTCTGCCGACGGACGGGGCCCGGTGGCCCCCTCGCTGTCGGCGCGCCGCACGGGACGCGGCCCGCCGGCTGTGGCGCGCCCCTCGCCAGCCTCGCTCTGCTGTCGCGCCAGTCTGCAGCTGGCGCCGGCTGAGTCAGCTGCCGCCGGGCGTCGGACAACGGCCGCGCGCGCCGAGCCGTCCAAGACCTCGAACCGCTGACGCAGCCGCTCCACCGCACTCCCGCCGCCGGCGTCCATCGCGAGACGGCGCGCGCGCGCGCTCGGCCGCCTGCGGCGCGGCGCCTGCCGCCCCCGCCGCGCGCCGAGCAGCACTGGAGCGCGCCCGAGCGGCCGCCGTCGCCGGGCGGCCGCGGGCGTCGCCCCCTGGCGCAGGCCGGCGCGCCGCCGCCCAGTCCGACATGTGGCTGCCGCCGGCGCCCCGCCCCGGCCGCTGACGTCATCCGGGGCGGCGCCGCGGAGTGCGCCCCTAGACGGCATCGGGATGACGCCACCGCCGGATGACGCACCGTCGCGCCGCCCGCGAAGGCAAGGCTCTTTGTTCCCAGGGTCGCACGTGTATTGATCGAGCCTGTGGAGGTCGCCGTCGAGCTGCGGCCGGTAAAACGTGCGCGGCGGTAGGTTCGTTTATTTATATGGCAGCTCGGCTGGGTGCTGCCACCGGCCGCCCCGGCGCACAGTTGAAAGCGAGTGCAGCGGCGCATGTTTACACTTCCGTGCAGCTGGAGGTCTGCTCGATAAGCGTTGCTGCACATCATGTGCATGACGTGTGAACACCACTTCCGGTCAGCCAATCGTCCCGGTACTACATACGATATTCATTTTCCGGCATGGTTACTGCTTGATCGCTCCAGTTGATGCGAATTTGAATTCAGACTTGCATTCATATTTAGTTTTGGAAGATGTCGATGTTATTGCTTACCAGTGGGTTATGTATGAATTTGCAATGGGGCACCGTTAAATTCTTCTCCGAAAACTCAGTTTGACGCGCCATAGGCGCGCTAGATCCCTTGCGTGGCGAAAAATGGCATGGCATAGTTTCTATATGTTTGGTTCTACGTATCTACCAGAAAGCTTTCATTGCCACCGTTAATTCACACACAGGAATGCATTCAGTACATTTCATGAGGGGTGCGCAGTACGCAAGCCCCCGGGGGCCACTACATCATTTGCGCCCCTCTCGCTTACTTCGCTTACTCGAAGTTATCCAATAAAAAAGGCTGACGTTATAATATTGCCTCAGCCATCACATCATTCCTTAAGTAATGTGTTTTGACGAGATTCTTATGCGGTATGATTTGCTTTATCAGACGTCTAGGAAGGAGATACAAACATTCGGCGCATGTGTTCTTGCTTGCACCGCTACTATCGCTACAGAAGCGCACACATCAGTCACAAGACTCCTCGACTGCTGCTTGTGTGAAAGTTTCATGGACATTCGGCGCCCGCCTTCCACAGCCTACTTTCATCAGCCAACCCCCTTCAGTGGCTGACAAGGCGACGACCAAAAAGTGGCCCACCCAATTAGCCGTACTGGTTAGATATGGCACAACCACAACGCCACCACTTGATTCCTCCCCCCCCCCCCCCCCTTCCCCCATAATGCCCGGTAGCCAGTATCATCGCACATTGCGGGGTACTGGCTACATTGGCTACTACTACATTCACGGCATTGTGCGAGCGTTCCGTACTCACCGAGCAGCACCTCCGGCGCCCGGTAGTGGCGCGTGGAGACCACCGTGCTGTGGTGCTCGTGGTCGAACGTGGCGCTGCCGAAGTCGATCAGCCGGATCTCCGAATTCCGCACGACCCGAACGTCCCGCTTTCTGCCGCCGAGCGCAAAAACAACACGTCAACGACCGCCCCGATCGGCACCTGACACATTGAGTCCACCATTAACGCGACGCTTTTTTATCATCACAAGTCAACCAGCGGAGTTGCCAGCTTTTTCATGTTTACAGAACCAAGCGGCTCCCCCACTTTAGGCCCGGGCATTTCCGTATCGCTGAGCGTCGCGCCAGATTAAACAGGCGTGCGGCGCCCCAACACGTGCAGACGGGCGGTGGGCGGCCGCCGCGGGGGCAGACTTCCGTCAGACGCGCCGTGATTGATCGGCTATCGCAGACGGCGTGATCAGCGGTCCGAGGCGACAGACTAACTGCCGCCGGCACGATATTCGCGTCCGTGGTGATCCATCAGAGGCCGGAGCGAGCCCCCCCCCCCCCCTCTCCCCTCGCGCCTGGCGGGTGTCATTGCGGCGCGTGATCCGTGGCAGAGGACCCGTCGGGCTGGGCCGGCTGGCTAGTGTTTGTTGTGACTCGAGATGCATCGCTCGAGCCGGCACCCGGCCTGAGCGGACGCTGACCTCGTCACATTCCCAGACGGGTGACGGCATGGAGGTCAGCGGGGACAGGTGACGCCAGAGGTCAGAGAGGAGAGGTGGTGACCCGTGGTGGCAGAGGTCAGAGAGGAGAGCCTGGCGACCCGTGGCGACAGAGGTCACAGAGGAGAAGTGGTGACCTATGGCGACAGAGGCCAGGGAGAATTTTCTTAAACGGTTTACTCCAAACGTTCTGAATGAAGCGATTTATGGGCTCAGAGCTCACGTTAAGCAGTGACTGTTGTCCTAGTCTTGAACCCTCCCACCCGACCGTGCAATTGCCGATCAACCGCGAAATTTGGTGGCGAAAGTGCCGAAAGTGCGATGTCACAATGCTCGCTCGGCCCGTCCTGCCCCCTGACGTCACCTGACCTTTCATGTGACCTCTGCCACCGGCGGCAGGCCATACCTGCCGAGGATAAATATCGAGCACCTAAAGCGACTCGATCCACCCCGCCACCGGTGAGTATACCGGAGGGCGCGCACTCTCATCAACCGAGCTGTTGGAAGAGCCAAACTGGAGAGCAGGTGATGTGGGGGCCAGCGACAACAGAGGCCGAAGAGGAAACGTGGCCATCCACTTTAGCAAAGACGTCAATGCTATAGATTAATCACCGTGTTGCATGAAGGATGTCAGACAAAACAGCCCGGTTTTCCAATTGCAAATATTTTCTCCGCGAGCATGTACCGCTGAGTGTCGACCGATGGTGCCGGCGCGAGCTTTTATGCTACCCATCACACACCTTTCGGGGGTTGTAGTGGACGTCGTAGTCGGAGCCGACGAACAGGATGTTCTCGGGCTTGAGGTCGGTGTGCGTCAGCCGGGAGTCGTGCATAAAGCAGACCGAGTGGCACAGCTGGTAGCCGATGTGGCGCACCTGCCCCAGCGGATACGGCTGGTAGCTGTTGTCCTTCTGCGGGGCGGGGCGGGGCAGCGGTCAGACAGGCGACCGCGTCGATCCCGACGGACAGAACGACGGGCTTGCGGGGGAGAGAGAGGCTGGGCAGGAGGCGCGATAGAGGCGGGCGCGGCCAGGGACGGCGCGGCAGCTGTACGCAGAGCTAAGCCTCCAAGGAGCGCGACAAACGGGAGGACGAACTGGAAGAAGGGGTGACGCGGGCTGCAGATGGACGACAGGAGCGCGTATTAGAATCAGAGATCACATCACAGCGGGTAGAGTGGGCGAGGGACTGGGGCAAATGGAGCCCAGACCGGCAGGAGGTCGTCGAAGCACTGCTCAGAGGGTTATTATCATGCGTTTGGTTCACCTGCGTAACGAAATACGCAGTGAGAACGTGATACGTGACGAGGCCAGGCAAGGAGGGCACATGTATATCACTCAGAATTGCGCAAGAGACATGCACTACACTGTGCGGGGCCAAAGGCCACACACTTAATGAAATGGACACTCGTCTCTACTCTGGGAAAATCAGTCAAATCGCGAGGACTTTAAAACTTTCTAAAAACACCGACAAGATGGCTGAGTTTTCAAGTCGTTAACCACCCGGAATTGACCATCAGACGTCAAACAAATTTTCCATATGTTTGGATTTTATGATAAGACTAAAGTGAATGTTTATGGTGAACTCACCATGAAATCGAACACGCTCAGCCCGAGCATTTCGAAGGCGATGCAGATGTGGCCGCAGTAGTCGAACCACTCCAACATCAGCACACACCGGCTGAAGGAGGTGGTCAAGGTCAAGGAGGTGAAGGTCGTCGTCATGATCATCCTCATGTATGATACGGCTTTAAAGACAACTAGACCAACACGTAATGTCAAACGCAAATGTGACTACAGCTCTGCGAATTTTCCCGGTATAATTCGCATGGAACGTTGACAATAGGATTTTTAACGAAGGATGTACGTTCAATGAAATGTGTTTGGAATGCATACAATATGTATAAGTGTATAAACACAAGTGAAGTCTCCTCAGCCCGGATTGTACCTTACCAATCCCACTTTCACCACTCAGTTGCAAGTGAGCTGAATGCGTTTGCAATCAATGCTAGATGGAAATGATTTAATAACAAACCAATCCGTAGGTGGCAAGATTACTTTCATAAAGGCAAGATATTTGACAGAAACGCGTTCTGTTACCAACGTTTCGGGGTTTCATTATATGGCATCTATTAATATTCGATCGCACGCACTGCTTCCCGTAGGGATCTTTGTCGTTCAGCTTTTCCAGCACGTTGATTTCAAGCTTGGCAGCCTCTCGGTACTTATCAACGTTCTTGATAACCTTCAGTGCGATGACCCTGTCCCTGTCAACAAACGCAAGAGATGTCACACTTGAGCTTCGCCCCGCTACCAGCTACGCTTCACCTAGATGGAAGGCTGTCTTAAGCGGCAACACTAGCGGCTTGACATGAATACACCAGAATCGTAATTTGTCCTTGCCAGTCAAGTTGCATTCACTGGATGCGGACCCAGATCGAATCAGATGGTGGTGTGTACAGATCAGGTCCGCCCGGAAGTCACCAATGTCGCAACGTGGGGCCAGCCGGACACACAACCTCAACAGCTGATAGACGAAGGGATAAACATCGATGCATTTGACTGCTTAACCTATTTTGTGTTCATAATGTTATCGGATTAAACAGCCCAGAGCTCAGCAGGAAGCGGCAGGGCCGCGGACCTCGCGCTGGGGAGCGGTAAACGGGCCACACGAACACTGCGCTACCCCACCGCCCCCTATAATTATGGTCATCATTGAGGGACTACTCGCATCACCGCCAGAGACGGAGCCCCGATGAATCACACCCCCATCTGTGGCTGATCATCTGACCGCCAATACACTTACTTGTCGAGATCTTTGACCTTCACGACCTTGCCGAATGTTCCCTCACCGAGAGTGGACAGGATGCGGTCTGAAACAGAATCAAGCGTCACAAATGAGGTTCCGCTGACTACCGCTAGACGTCACTACCGGCGGCATCGCAGAAAACCAGGTTGACTATTTTGATCATGGATCAAATTGATCAGCTATAATGGATAACTTAATCATTTTAAAGTTTTGGTTGAAAAATTGTATTTCTGAACTACCGTTTTTTCTAAAAAGTCTGCCGAAGTTACTACTCTTGGCCGGCTGATCGGTATTAGAGCAATGCGATGTGCTCGTTGATAAGAAATGGACTATGAGCTGACCTCTTGCCGAGGAGTTCTCTTAAGACTCATGCGATATCGGCCCGCAGAAAGCAGTCATTGACTAGCGTTCATTAGATAGCAATTCCATTATGGAAATTTTCGAACTCTTCGGCCAAAGCCCCCAGTATAGCCCGAGCGTAGCCGATCTCCCGAGAGACAGGCAAGGAGCCTGCTGTACACACCTGAACCCTAAGTCCCAGCGGAGACCGGCTGGACCGTTTCGAGCATCTGGGCCCGACCCTCGACATAGCGCCGGTAATTAAGACGGCACAAACTAGCTGCCAGACAGATGGTCTCCCCTAAAGAAGCAAACGTCTGACGTGCATTGGCACGTGCCGCCGCAGTTATGCTTGAGAGTCGCGCTTCAGTGCTCGCCGTGCGAGCATTGAGGTCGGCAAAAGAGCATTGGAGTATGCCAATATTCGCCGCTCACCGAACGCGAGGCAGGATGCGCCCTATCAATGGCCTGCATTCTCAACCGATGATGACTGACGAGCCGGATGATCACGGGATTCGTCTACAGAACCCGAAACTGACGAGCTGTGACGAGCCAGCGGATCACAGGACCCGTCTACAGAACCCCAAACTGAAGAGCTGTGACGAGCCAGCGGATCACAGGACCCGTCCACAGAACCCGAGACTGACGAGCTGTGAAGAACCAGCGGATCACAGGACTCGTCCACAGGACCCCAGATTGACGAGCTGTGACGAACCAGCGGATCACAGGACCCATCCACAGAACCCGAAACTGACAAGCTGTGACGAGCCACCGGATCACGGCCTCGTCCAAAAACCCGAGAAATGCGGCGAGTGGCCATCTCGTTGGTGTAGCTCGAAAGGTCAGATATTTGATTTAAGTGGCAACGCTTCGGATGACCTCAGCGCCGCGGCACGATATGTTGATATTGGATCCCTGTGATCTCAGCCTCGATCACGTCAGGACTGGATATCTCAGTGGAATGACTCAATATGTGAACATATGACCTAATCGATGCGACTCAAGACCATGAGGAGCACATGTGTGAGTGGCATGCAATGGTGTAGTTTTGCAAGATCAGCTGGGACCGGTGAGGCAGATGAAAATGACTGAATGACCCTCATTTTCACCCGAAGTTCAATTTATTTATAACTTTAACCAACGTCTGTTTCGAAGTTAGGAGGACTGACGGCAATTTGGCGCGGTGTTGGGGCCACTTAAGCTGAATACAAACCTGGACTGGGGCTGGGGCTGCTCAAACTGAATACGAGCTTGGAGCGGGGCTGGAGCCTCACTAACTAAATGCGACTTTAGGGCGGAACTGGGACCCCCTCTGACTGAATACAAGACTGCATCTGCATGCTTGGTGGCACGGCTCGAAAAAAAACAGACCCTATCGGCTCACTGCGAAGACTCGAGATACAAAATATAAGACCCGACAGCACGAATCCAGTGAGAGGAAGAAATACGGCTAGGTAGCATGGCTGGCAATGTGAGACATGCTTCTTGGTAACAGGACTCGATGTGTGGGAGGTAGTGCCACGTATTACCAGGACTCGAGGTGTTGGACATGCGGTCTGGTGGCAGGACTCAAAATGTGGGACATACGTTCTGGTAGCATGACTCCAGATGTGGGACATATGGCCTCGTAGAGTGACTCGAAATGTGGGAAATGCGATCTCAATAAAGTGTATTATAGTGTATAATGTACTACAGAGGATGGGCAAATAACCCGGTGAAATGTCCCCAGAGCTGTAGCATGAGAACTGGAAGCATAAGATGAGGTGAGAGACTAGTGACTTTGCAGCACGACTCAAGGCACAGGCCATGCCAGTGATATTCACATGTATATTAACAGGAAGGATCACTAAAGAGTCGACGTATCCAACGTAAAGCTGCGACGGTGCAGATATACCACGCAGGAGGCCAATGGTCCTGATCAAGGAATCAATTAGCCCAAGCCCCTGATCCCTGAAACTGTCTGCGACTAGGTCCCAGTACCAGAAGGCTGGCACAGAGTCTCTACCCGGCGCCTTCTGATTCTATTCTGCTCCGGAAGTGAACAGAAACAAATGAGTGCTGTTTGACGGAGCAAGCACCGCACCCTGACTTCAAGCCATCCGGGGAGACAGAGCCAACCCGGGAGCGCTGAGCAGACTTACACCGGCTTTGCAGCACGTCGCCGTTCCTGTAGATGAGGTGGCCGTCCTCGTCGTCCTCGACCGTCTGCTCCGGCGGCGCCTGCGGTCAAAACACGTCCCGCCTGAGCCACGGAGGGAAACGCACCCGTCGAAGCCCTGTCCAACAGCGCGTCTCAACCGCAGCCAATAATGTGTCACCGCGGCGTGCTGAGAACACACATCAGGCTGGCACAGGCGTGCCACGCATCCGGGCCCCGACGGCAGCAGCTGACCGCCAGGTGCTGCTCCAGAGCGCGTGCGAATCGATGCGTTAGTCCACTGCATTCGTTGGGGCTATTAGTTCGTTGCAAAAACGCCTTTGACCCGACAGGGTCCTCCTGACGTCCCGTGCACTCATCTTTGTCAGGAGGCGAGGTCGCGCGCCGCCGGCTCTCGCGTCTGTCTGTCAGCGGGTGAAGCGCCCGCTATAACAGACCCGGGATGCGCGCGGGCCGCAAAGCCGGATACATTTGCCAGAGGCTGCTGCCGACCCGGCGTCTAAAATTAGTCGGCGTGCGCGGCAGTGCCGCGAACAGAGCCGCTGGCCGGGAAGGCGACTGACTGTCCCGCGGAGCGGGGGCGGGATGTGACTTACCCCTGGCGCCGGAAGCCGGTGTCCGAGTCACAGTTGGTGGTTAGTCAAACACCAGCCGGATTAGTCAGGCGTCTGAGTGTAAGGTCACGCGGCTGCAGGCTGAGCGTCCAGCTCGCAGCGCTGGTCGGGCGCTCGCAGGATGGCGCCGCGGGCGTCAGGTCTGCCGGCGCCAGCGGTGCCAGAGGCCCAGCACACAGCCGACAGCGGTACCGGAGGTCCAGCACACAGCCGCTACCGGTACCAGTGGCCCGACAGCGCCGCTGGCGGCGCGGGGGCACCCACACACCGGGAGCAAAGCTAAGGGTCCAACGCACACTGCGAGCAGCGCCATGGAATCCAGTCCAGGCAGCGAGCGGCACCAGCAGTCGCGCGTGCCGGAGATTGTTAGCGGCACGGCGTCGCGCCGGCGGGGCCGTTGGCCGCTCCACTGCCACACGCGCCGCCGCCGGCCGCTACTCACATGACCGAACGGACTGTTAGCGCCCAGCTGCCGCGTCCGCCTAGTGCTGAGCACGGGAGCACAACACACGGCCGGCGCCGCGTCTACCTTGGCCGCCGCACGCGCCGCCGCCGGCCGGCCGCGGGTCTTCGCCTCCTCCCGGATCCGCCGGTAGCGGCGCGCCGACGCGGAGCCGAAGTACACGTCGTCAAGGCGCGAGCCGGTGGCGGCGGCGGCGGCGCCGGCCGGCTCTGCGCGGCCGGCCGCGCGGCCCGTGTCCACGCGCGAGTAGATGCCGAAGGTGGGCTCGTAGTCGTTGAGCCGGAGTCGGCCGGCGGTGGCGCCGGCGCCGTCGCGCGCTGCCGGTCGTATGATGGCCGAGGCCGACTTCTGCAGCGGCAGCGCCGGGTGGCGGCTGTTGAAGGCCGCTTGGCGCGACGCCGGCTCGTTGTTGTTGCTCTCCAGGTGTAGGGAGGTGCGCTTGAACGAGCTGGGTGCATCACCGTGCGTGGAGCCGGTGGGACGGCTGCGGAGCACCGCGCCGCTCGCGCCGAGCTGCGGTGCCGGTTTAGGGACGTTCTCCTTGGGCGGGCTAAAAATGAGAGGGCGCAAACGAAACAGCTTGCGCTTGCGTTCTTCCTTTTCCTTCCGCCGGGCGTCTTCTTCACTCGTTATGGTGCTGCTCTCTTCTGCGTTTGTCTGAGTTTGCAGCGTCTTGAAACCGAGACTCCCATCGTCTATCTCCAGCTTGCTTAAAGCCTTATGCATCAAATACTCATCTGGCACGGAACCGTTAGTTGCATTTCGTTTCTCGTTAACCATCTTTGTATTTTCTGCCGTCCAGCTCGAACTGATAAAGGGCTTCTGTTTTAACTCATGAGAGCATTTCGTGTTTGTTTCCCCATCGATGTTATCCCCTGCACACTTTGCCGCGCTTGTTTCCGACGCCCACGACTCAGGAAGCTCCTGCTTGCGGTCTGCACTTTTCTCTCCCGCTCCAGATTTCTTTTCCGGATTATATATCGCAAGCTTCTTCTTGGACGAGAACGGGCTAAAGAGACGCTCTTTAAACGTGACTCTCTCACCTTGAGTCGATGACTTGGTGGCGACAGCCGCCTGAGCAGAGGCCCTCCTTGGACTGCCTGTTCCCGAGTTGTGGGAGAGACCTGATATCAGCCCCAAGGTCCTCCGTCGAGCGCGAGGACTGGCCACGGGCGTCCCCGCCGTGTCCGCCGCCGCGCCGTCCACCACCTCCTCCGACACCGCTTGCGACAGCACGTGACGTTTGACCGGCCGAGACAACTCTGCTTCCGATGCCGCGGTACCCGCCCGCGGCGTCGAGCCCCCACCAGCGTCGTCACTAGACTGAGAAAGAGGCTCGGCGATGACAGCCGGCGCAGTGCCGACTGTGGCGGCCTCCTCCGTGCAATCGTCCTCTTTGTCGGCGGGCGCGGGCCGCGACGCGGCCGGCGCGCACAGCTGATGCCTGGGCGGGCTTCCAGCGCACCCGGGCGCCGGACCGCCGCCGCCGCCGCCAGATGTGCAGCCTTCGGTGCGGCAGTGATCGTCGGCGTCGCTTGAGCGCCAGTCCGACGCGCCGGTATGGACGCCGGAAGCGGGCACGCTCTGGCCGCTGAGATTTGCCGAGGCGCCTTGACTGGCGGGCTCGGACGGACTTGGACGGGACTCCCGACTCTGGAGGTGAACGGATTCCAGTGGACTCGGCCGGGACTCCTGGTCCTGTTGCCGCGCCAGCTCTACTGGGCTCGGCCGGGACTTCGGGTCCTGTTGCCGCGCCAGCTCCTGCGGACTCGGCCGGGACTTCTGATCCTGTTGACGCGCCAGTTCCTGCGGACTCGGCCGGGACTTCTGATCCTGTTGACGCACCAGCTCCTGCGGACTCGGCCGGGACTTCTGGTCCTGTAGCCGCGCCAGCTCTAGTGGGCTCGGCCGGGACTTCAGGTCCTGTTGACGCATCAGCTCCAGCGGACTCGGCCGGGACTCCTGGTCCTGTTGACGCACCAGCTCCGGCGGACTCGGCCGTGACTCCCGGCCCTGGTGGTGAAGGAGTTCCAGCGGACTCGGTCGTGACTCCCCGCCGACCGCCGCCGCGCCGGCACCGGCGCGACCCGGCGCTCTCGGCTCGTACGCGGCGTTCTCGTGCCAGCGGGTGCCGGGCGACTCGGCGGGCCGCCGCGCCGGCCGTGACGGCGGCCTCTCCTGGTCGGCGCCGGCAGCCGACCGGACGCTGTCACGACCGGCCGCCCGCGAGCTAGGCCGCTCGTACGCAGTCGTACAGCGAGCCGTACGCCAGCCGCTCGGGCCAGCAGCGCTCCAGCGCCAGTTTGGTGACCAGCGCCTGCGAGGGCGGCGGCGGGGCCGGCGGCGCCCGCTCGGGCTCCGGTGTCGTGCGGCCGGACTCGGCCTCCTCCGGTCGGGACTCCTCTGCCGGCCGCCGGCCGTACTTCTCCTCCCAGCGCGCCACCTTGCTGCTGGCGCTTTCCAGGCCGAGTCGGTCGAGCATCGCATACTTGTATACCAGCGGGTGGTAGGTGACGTCGGCGCGAAACTCGGGCCGGTAGCGCGCCACCGGCGGCGACGGACGGCCGCTCTCGTCGCCCTCCGCCACCGAGACGGAGCGCACGCGCGCCGTCAGCTGCTGCAGCAGGTTCAGGCCGCTGCGCAGGAGCCCGGGGTCCGTCGCCGGCGGCCGCTCCGTCTCCAGCGCGCCGCCCAGCGCCGTGGTGCGCGAGCGGCCGTAGACCCGCCGCGGGCGGCTGGTCATGGCGCCGGCCGGCCTCCGCTGCCCGAGTCAGCAGCCGCTGCCGGCTGCTCGGCTCCCGGCGGTGAAAATGGGCGGCGGTGAACGATGTCACCGGCCAACAGGGCACGGTACGCGGTCCACTTTGGCACCGATATCGTCAGAATCACTGCACGCACCACCGTCCGGCGCGGCACTGGCTCGCTGATGAGCTGCCGGCGCCGGCAGCGGCGTACACCAATACGCGGCGGCCGGAGGGCAGCCGACTGACGCTGCGGCGGGACCGGCGGGCAAACTGAGCCGTCGGGAGCGACGGCCGACGCTCTTGGCCCCGATTCATGTGGCTGGCAGGGCGGGGACGCGGCCGACCGGCGGCCGGGCTCCGCCGACCCGGCAGCCTCAGCGGACACCGGCCTGATTCACTGGCCCCCGGGGGCCGCCGCCACCCGCGCCGGGGCACCAGCGTGACCCGCGCGTGACGTCACCGGGGCCCCTGAGCCAGAGCGCGACCCGCACTGACCGGTGGGTTGGCCCGCGCACGCCGTCGGAGCCAGCGGCTGGCCGGGCGGGCTGGCCGGCCCCGCGCGCCGCCCGCTATATTTAGCGCCGCGCCGGCCCAGCGCGGCGGATACGCGGCGACGCACGCGAGCGTCGCCGCCTCGTGGCGCGCCGCTGCCGCCGCGGCGACACCGTCTCGAACGACCCGTCCGGCGTCGACGCGTCAAGGCTGTGGCCGGGATGGCCGGGATGGCCGGCGGCCGGCGGCCGGGCGGCGGCTGCTGCCAAGAAATGCCTAACACCGCGGCCGCTGTTTGGGGTGACGCGCCCACCCCCGGTGAGGCGGGTCCGAGGTGCGGAGTATCCGCCGCCGCCGCCCGGCGGACCGCGGGCACGGTCCGGCGCTCTGGGGGCCAGGGGCTCGGCCCAGGGGCATACGGAGTCGGCAACCCCGGCGGGGGATGGTGTGTGCATCCCGCATACACCAAATTGTGGGTGGCTGGAGAAGTGACCACTTCAGTGCGATCGAGAGTCACAATCACTTGTTAAGGATGAAACACCAACCGAAGTGGCTGTATTCTTTGGTGGTATTCTTACCGTGCATCGGTTGCGTATCGATGTGCTACCTCATATCATACACCATGGCTGCCAAACATGTGATTTTGTTCCTTGTGTTCTTGCGTTAAAACTAATGTATAGCTGTTACAAAACATAAAATAATAACCTATATTAAGTGCGCGCTTAAAAGCACACATCGGAGGACCCAGAAGTTTTTCCCAACAAAGTACACGGATTTGTTCATGGCTTCAAGGTCCAAAGCATTAAATGACACGGCGATTGCGTTTCAGCATTTGCGTGGCAATATATGAGCAAAGACAGCAGGACATCTACCAAGCATCCTCTGAGAAAGCAAAATGCAGCAAGGTGCCTGTACTAAGGAAATATTTGATCAGTGATTTCAACTAGCACCCGGATATTTAGTTGTGCGATTCAACCATTTAGCATGCGTACTCCTTTCTGGGAGCGCAGATTAAACCTTCTTTGTAGTGAGAGTATTCAGCGTGATTTATACCTGATGAAGTGCATGGTAACGCCCCTGACTACACGTCTCTCAATGATTAGACCCATTCACTCCACGGCTCAAAATACCGCGTCCTGCAGCGAGGATGGCGTCCGGTATGACGAGTGTGAAATGGGAAGCCATTCACCCGAAGGCCATGACGCCAACGCGTAAATAACGGACTGAATGAGGCGTCAGACAGAATGCAATCAAGAATCAATGCGCTGCACATAAATTGTACGCTCAAGTGTGCTTCCGGCATTAACATCTGCAGACGGCGGTCGTTTACCATCGTCGAAATGACGCAGCTTGTGACGCTAAATCAGCATGAAATCGCCGACTAAGAAATTGATACGCGCTCTGTTAGTGTTCCGCGCTCTAGCACACCTATCGCTTATCGCAGAGGAAGATAGTCATATTGGCGCCATAAACAATTGATATTGAGGGTGATCTCTAAATGAAATGTGGTGTGCATGTCTTTGCATTGTAAAGAGTTCTGATGAAACCTACCGAAGCGGACCAGTCAGGAGTTGAAGAATGAGTCTAGATTACTGAGAGCAATGATCGAGACATTTCCTACAGCAATCAAACTATTTACACGTGCAGGGGTTTGAAATAAAGCCGTAGGAAATATTCTTGGAAAGAAAGATGGGTAAATGTAGAATGAGCTCAGTGAATGTGTTTTGACATAAAATGGCCGGTTTTGCGGTGAGCAGGGAGACCATATGTCGCCTGTGAGCGGAAACAACGGACCGTTGATTTTAGCGAGCTGTCCTCCAGCTGACCTCGGATGGAGCTTGCCATCCCGTGAGCCGCGCTGTCCAAATGCTTGTTTAGGGTGAGCTTAACAGCTAAAACGTTCTTCCCTGTCAGCGGGAACGACTGCAACATTGTCACACCTTTTCCGTCGATCTTGCTCTTGATTGCGTAGAAGCGGCCGAATAATGCGAACCGCCACCTTTCCTCGGATGCATTCAACACTCCCCTACGAGTCCATCTCCTACACGTCCCAAAATGAAGGCTGTTTGTGTCAGAGTATGCCAGGATCTGAACTCGCGTCGCCGGTGTCCTCTACTGAGCGAAGTTTGCATGTTGGCAGCCCTTGTATCCATTTTGCCCGACTTTCCTTCCGGTCGAACTTCACCACAGTGGGTCGTCAAGCGGCCGAACTCTGGCTGTCAAAGGGCAGCTATAAAACGTGTGGCCAACGCTTCCGTACAGCTGCGCTAGGGAACCCGTGGAATTGGCGATAAAATAGGCGGGCGAGCACTCGAGACGCGAACGTGCCGCGGTCTTATTCGGTGACGAAAACCCGACAGCGACCGGGGAGACCGGACCTTTGCGGAACATTGCCGCCAATCTCTCACCACATCACAACTTTGCAACACGCATTTACCGACGTTGAAAAGTTGCTTTCGAGTCGCATGGCTGCTCGACCACTCGACCCATATCTGCCACCTTATGCAAATTGCCCATGCTGCAACTCGTACGCCATTGCTGATAGGATGGCAGGAGCCCAAACGTGGCTTTCCTCGGGGCGATGTGGAGCTGCCAATCATCGTCCAGTCAGTAACCAGTTGAGATCAGCTGCACTAGGTCCCGACGACAGCTCGGTAAGGGATGTCGGCATTTGATGGCTATAGGATAAAATTACGTATGGAGGAAGTACGTATGCCTAAACTATGCACGCAATTGCTCGTACGCAAGTGTGCGTTAGGATGGAAAGCTCGTATGACAGAAGTACGTAGGCAAAAAGTCCTATGGCAGAAGTTCGTAAGCGAATGTTTGCATGCCATAAAGTACGTACGGAAAATGCTCGTCAAGACAAAACTTCGCATGAAAAAATTAGTATACGTAAAGTTCGCATGCAATAGTTTGAAAGTATCTCAATGCACGCAAACGTTTGTAAAGGATAAAATTGGTTAGACAAAAGCACGGCGGGTGCTCTGCGGTGGACATTTCTCTAAAATAATTTTCTTACCTCCGGCCACTTCCATCCCGAGTTCATGTCGCACTGCTCTCATTGATAGTACTCGTTTGGCGGCCGCCGAAAGGCCTTTAATTTCATGGCATGAAGAGCTGGACTAGGCCAAAGATTTAACCTGAAGTACGCAGTTGCCGTCGCCCACCGCCATCCGTACACCAGATGTGATGACCTTCAAAGCGGTGCTTTATCCGAGATCCGGCACGAGGGACCAAGATCTGCATTCCAACGTGCACATCTGCATCCGAAGTTTTGCATGCACACTGTTGTCAAACGAACATCATCCCTGACACACTTTTGCGTACCAGCCGTGTGCATTTATATCAGATATCCAAAGATCAGTCTTTGATTACGTATTCTTTTAAAACAAACGTTATTCTTGACCGACATTTGGGCCCGAACATTTGCGCGCAAACCATTGCTTATGAACTTTTTCCATACCAACTTTTACTGCCACGAACAGTTTCGTTATGGACTTCCTCCTGATGATCAATCTACCAAGCAATCTTTATGCGTGCTTTTCCAGTGTGGACTTTTGCCGTTATGAATTTTATGACCTGCATACTTTACACTGAGGAACAGTAGGCATACGAGCTTCTTCCTACGAACAAGTGTCATGCAATATTTTTCTGAACGTGCTTTTGTCCGCAACCTTAATCAGATAGCGCAGTTGTTCGTGCTATTTTATTAGCACCTCATCGACAGCAAACCAATCGGGCGTGATAATCAACACACTGCATTTTCATCCCCGCCGGCGTGGTGATTGGCGAACGCCGGGGCCGTGACTTGCAGATGACGCTGACCAGTGCACGACCCTCATTTTTATCAATCAAGTGGCGGCGTCGGCAGATGGACCTAATATGGCTTTATAACGGCCATGGTGTGGGTGTGTTATTGTACGGACGATAGCGCTGGCTCGTCCCGTGGCCAAAGACAACATTGCGTCACGGGGGACCCAGCCCGGGGACCCGCCATGACCTCGCGCGGGCTGCAGCGTTGCGATGCTGTCACCGGGCAGGTGCCTTGTTTGGCTGCCGTGCTCGTGCAAATATACAGCACCGGCGCTGGCCGGCTTAAAAAGCCAAGGATAACAAGATTCTGCAACCGAAGACAGTTCAATGCTTCGCGTTGGTCAGCGAGGGCGGGGAAGGTAAGCGAAGAGAAAGTGAGTCGTGGACCTGGTAGCGGGTAATGGAAGCACGGTTCACGCTTTAAGCGTAATCGACCCCAATCGCTGGTTAAGCTGAGAGTTATGATTTGTGTAGCGGCCCGGGACAAAAATAAAAGTTGTGCATTTGCTCGTCTTCACGGGTGGATCCAACTTAGGATGGAATAAGTTCGGAATTATACTGACCGAAATCAGCTTAGAATGGTTTAGCACAACGTTCAAACCGTAAAACATCTCTTTCTACCGTCTTGTGATCACGGGCGCTTCTGAGTCCGTTGAATTCACCAGGACTGGTTAAGGAAGCGCTTTAAATATGTTCACACATGCATACAACAGCCCTAATGACACGACATCGGTTGTGGCTGTTCTCAAGAGCTCGTGCGTGGAGTGTTGCAAAATATGGGACATCTTTCAGAGCAACGTTTTGGCGCACCCCAGAAACTGAGCCTCGGACTGCGCCGGCCACATCTATATTTAGATCGATCGGAACTGGCGGCCTGGGGGGGGGGGGGGGGGGGCGGGGGGGGCAGACCCGGTCACCTGCCACCCATACCGTGCGCGTGATATGGCCCATCGGCACCGACGCGACACTCCTGACATCTATCGGTTTTCGCCAGGCACTATATAGTTGAAACATTTGACGCCAGGTGTTGAGGGGAGGAGCGGTGAAATTGCGTCGTCTATCCGCACATTGCTCATTGATCGATTGAGTGAGGCTTGTTGCCGCAGAAACACAGGTACACCTGACAGTAGTATGAACTGATCAGAGTGGCATGCTGGCAGATGACATTAGAGCGAGTGTAAACTACTTTGTGGTTTCGTTTGGATTAGAGCCCTTTCGGCCAGTAATGACCATTTCAAGACTTTGTTATGAGTGAGAGTGATCAGTCTTGGCTTTAAACTATATGCACCTGCGAGCCCATCTGCCGAGACTTAGCCAGCATAAGGACCGCTAAATGTGGCGGGTGCTTGGGGTTTGAACGGGGCCCCGCCAGGGGACGTTCGAGCCCACTCGTGGCTGGTGCATTTAACTTGTCCCGGACAAACGTGGCGTCGCGAGGATGAAGGTTAAAGTGAGCGTGAGGACAGAATGACAGATACACCTACGGTGGGTACAGCATAATCATGCTCGGCAACCTCCCTTCGGCGGTTTTCGAATAAGATGGAGAAACTTCGATTCACAATGAGCGTGCCGACGAGTCGCTCCGTGCCGGCGGTCTATGCTGTCTGTCTGGCCGACATATCGACGCGATCGACAGTTGGACGGCGGTAGGCACCTCTTCACCCTGATGGCTGCGAGTGGCCAGTCCTCAGCACCCTGCTAGCTGGGAGTGGTCAGTCCTCGGCACCCTGCTAGCTGGGAGTGGTCAGTCCTCGGCACCCTGCTAGCTGGGAGTGGCCAGTCCCTGGCACCCTGCTAGCTGGGAGTGGCCAGTCGCTGGCACCCTGCTAGCTGGGAGTGGCCAGTCCCTGGCACCCTGCTAGCTGGGAGTGGCCAGTCTTCGGCACCCTGCTGACTGAGAGCGGCCAGCCCTCCGCACCCTACTGCCTGGGAGCGGCCAGTCCTCCGCACCCTGCTGACTGCTGGCTGAGGGTGGCCAGCCCTCCGCACCCTGCTGCCTGGGAGCGGCCAGTCCTCAGCACCATGCTGGCTGGGAGCGGCCAGTCCTCAGCACCCTGCTGACTGCTGACTGAGAGCGGCCAGCCCTCCGCACCCTGCTGACTGCTGACTGAGAGCGGCCAGCCCTCCGCACCCTGCTGGCTGGGAGCGGCCAGTCCTCAGCGCCCTGCTGACTGCTGGCTGGGAGCGGCCAGTCCTCAGCACCCTGCTGGCTGGGAGCGGCCAGTCCTCAGCACCCTGCTGACTACTGGCTGAGAGCGGCCAGCCCTCCGCACCCTGCTGGCTGGGAGCGGCCAGTCCTCAGCACCCTGCTGACTGCTGACTGAGAGCGGCCAGCCCTCCGCACCCTGCTGGCTGGGAGCGGCTAGTCCTCGGGCGGCACACTCCTCCCTTGTTTGGAGAGAAGACAGCGGTCCGACCGCGCCAAATAAGGGCGGGAGGCACCGGATCTGCCAGGCGGACGTGTGGGGATAGACACTTCCTGGTCCGGCATGGGACAGATTGCTTCCTGACGGCGGGTTAGGGGCGAGCCACACTCTGACGGACAATCGCTCACGCCTGATGGCCGGGAGCCTCTCACAGACCAGCCTCAATTCAGACGAAGGGGCTCTTGGGGATACTAGCGGTGATTCCCGGCATGCTCGTGTCTGAGTGCCAAAAACTCAGGAAGGATCTGTGCTTGTGGTCAGAATTGGGCACGGCATCTCCCACGATCTAAGACTCAATCGTGCCGAAAATTTTTTGAATCAACAATCTTTCTGGAACATTGTCAAAAGATTGTGTGATATGGAAGCCAACGCCACATGACATAAGCATATTGCAAAGTTGATCAGCCAGCACTATTTTCTGACCCTTTTTGGGATGATTCTGACCCTTTTTGGGATGAGAAAGGACTCATAAATGTAATGGGGATAGAAAAGCATTTATGCGGGGGATTTAGGAAGAGAGAGAGAGAGAGAGAGAGAGAGAGAGAGAGAGAGAGAGAGAGAGAGAGAGAGAGAGAGAGAGAGAGAGAGAGAGAGAGAGAGAGAGGAGAGAGAGAGAGAGAGAGAGAGAGAGAGAGAGAGAGAGAGAGAGAGAGAGAGAGAGAGAGAGAGGAGAGAGAGGAGAGAGAGAGAGAGAGAGAGAGAGAGAGAGGAGAGAGAGAGAGAGAGAGAAGAGAGAGAAGAGAGAGAAGAGAGAGAGAGAGAGATAGAGAGAGGAGAGAGAGAGAGAGGAGAGAGAGAGAGGAGAGAGAGAGAGAGAGTAGAGAAGAGAGAGATGAAGGAGAGAGAGAGAGGAGAGAGAGGAGAGAGAGAGAGAGAGAGAGAGAGAGAGAGAGAGAGAGAGAGAGAGAGAGAGAGAGAGAGAGAGAGAGAGAGAGTAGAGAGAGAGAGAGAGAGAGAAGAGGAGAGAGAGAGAGAGAGAGAGAGAGAGAGAGAGAGAGAGAGAGAGAGAGAGAGAGAGAGAGAGAGAATGAAAGGGAAAACATTATAAAGAGAGAGTGAGAGATAACGTGTCCGGGAGGCGGGAGGGGCAGAGCGTCAGCTGAAAGGGAGTCCGTGCAGAAGGGGTGCCGTGCCGGCGTGACCGACCGCGCCCTTCAGCCCGCTGCAAGGGCCAATCCGCATCACGAGCCGCGCGCGCCCGATGTTCACGATATGACGACCGGGACGACTCCCGTAAAGGGCCGGGGTGCTGCCGGTGTGAGTCACCACACATTTTCTCCCCCCCCCCCCCTCCCCCCCGCTGCCGGCGGCGGCCGCCTCCTGACAGGCCACGGTCGGGCGGACGGCCTTAGCGCCTGGACACAGCGGAGACCAGTGCCGTCTTACGACGCTCGTAACGGTTCATCTTACTGGCGTTCCAACCTTTCCACCGCTAGCAGCATGGGCGCGGAAACGCAGCCGGCAGGCAGTCTCAAACCCACACACCCTCGCGTCTACAATCAGCCAAGCACTGTACGCCGCTGAGCTACGGCGCCCGGCCCGCTCCGGCCGTCGCCGCCGGCAGCCGTCCTCCCGCGGCGCCGACAGCGCGCCGCCGGGGAAGATGATTAGGACCAGACGAGACCGCGGCCTGCTGGGCGGACGCCGGGTTCGCAGAACGCGCCGTCGAGCCGCCGAACTGTCGAGCTGTCGAGCCGCTAAGCCGCCGTCGAGCCGCTGAGCCGCCGCCGAGCCGCGGCTCGACTCATTTGGAGGCTGCCGCGCTGCGCCTCCGGCTGTAAAGGGTTAGCGGTGGTCGTGGCGGGCGGGATCATCTGCCGGCGGCCGGCTCCGCAACGAGCGCCGGCGGCGGCCGGGCCGCTCCGGCCGGTGCTTGGGCCGCGCTGATGGCGCGCCGCCACGCGTCGCTGTCGGTCGAGAGGCCGCAAAGTTTGCTGGGCGTGCGGTGTGCGGAGGCGGCTTTTGAGTTCTGCGGCAGCTGGGGCGGGCGCATGCCGGTGACGAGGCGCTGAGAACAGCCGGCGACGATCGCCAGCTGCAGGGGCAGCGGCGTCTCCGCGGCAGACCTTGGGGGGCGTCGGCGAATCAAAGCCCTTCACAGGTCCGAGCGAAATTGCCGCTCGCCCGCCACCACGCAGCCACCAACACGCATCGTACTCCTCCCTCGGAACGAGCGACGGGCGTGCGGGCCAATGAGCGGCGGTTTTTGCCCTGCCCGCTTCACCGTCTGTGAGACAGCGCGGGTCTGTGCGGCGAAGGACGTTTCCGCGCTGCCGCGTTGCCGGCTCGGCCGTCCGCGGGGCCAGAGCACGGCGAGGTGGCCTCCAGGGCGGCTGGTGCCGCCCGGCCGGCCACTTCCCGGCGCGTGGGCGGCGGTCTCCGCCCTAACCCTGCCCTCCCTCAGTCTGGACGACCCGAGTGCGGAACTAGCGTCTGCCGGACGCTCCGAGGCGAAGGCGGCACGAGCCGCGTCCGCTCGCTGGGCCGGAAGTGATGCGAGGCTCGCGTGACTTGATGGATGGGCTCGTCACTTCACAAGCTCGTCGCCTCGAGGCGGCTTTTCGAGATGGTGTGGTTAGCCCAACGCACCCCGAACCCAGCTGCTGCAGCTTCTGCTGAGCCAAGGGCCACCGAGCTAGGCATGCTTTAGCTGATGAAACAAGCTGGAAAAATGTTTTACACTGACCTGACGGCCGTCGCTGTCATCTCGAGTCGGTGGCTATGCTTGTGTGGACCGGCTGCTCTCACCTGGCTTGTGAAGCTGTCGTTACGTCGTGACGGTCTGAGCTCGTGTCGACAGGCTCCGCTCACCTGACTACCGTAGCTGTCGCCAGTGAGTCGGTGGCTGAGCTTGTGCCGATTCCGACGCGTCGACGACGACGGGCTGGAGGAGTGGCGACGCCGGCCGGCGCGTGGCGGCACATCACTGGACGGCCGGCGGGACTGCTCGTACCGCTCCGGGCTGACGGGAGGGCAGGGGGTCAGCCATGGGTGGGACTGATCGTACCCGGGCTGACGGGAGGGCAGGGGGTCAGCAGGGCTACTGAGCCATGGGTGGGACTGATCGTACCCGGGCTGACGGGAGGGCAGGGGGTCAGCAGGGCTGCTGAGCCATGGGTGGGACTGATCGTACCCGGGCTGACGGGAGGGGCAGGGGGTCAGCAGGGCTACTGAGCCATGGGTGGGACTGATCGTACCCGGGCTGACGGGAGGGGCAGGGGGTCAGCAGGGCTACTGAGCCATGGGTGGGACTGATCGTACCCGGGCTGACGGGAGGGCAGGGGGTCAGCAGGGCTACTGAGCCATGGGTGGGACTGATCGTACCCGGGCTGACGGGAGGGCAGGGGGTCAGCAGGGCTACTGAGCCATGGGTGGGACTGATCGTACCCGGGCTGACGGGAGGGCAGGGGGTCAGCAGGGCTACTGAGCCATGGGTGGGACTGATCGTACCCGGGCTGACGGGAGGGGCAGGGGGTCAGCAGGGCTACTGAGCCATGGGTGGGACTGATCGTACCCGGGCTGACGGGAGGGCAGGGGGTCAGCAGGGCTACTGAGCCATGGGTGGGACTGATCGTACCCGGGCTGACGGGAGGGCAGGGGGTCAGCAGGGCTACTGAGCCATGGGTGAGGCTGATCCTCCGGGTTAACGGACAAGGCAGGCGGTCAGCAGGGGCTACTGAGCTATGGGTGGGGTTGATCTTACCACTCCGGACTGACGGGAGGGGCAGGGGGTCAGGTTGGGGTACTGAGCCATGGGTGGGGCTGATCGTGCCTGGCACTCATGTGCATAAAGCAAAGATACGCATCGCTTTTAATATGACTTCAGTCGTTTGTTTGTTCCATCGCACAATCGTGGTCCACAAATCAATGCGGCCTCAGTCTCAGAGCCGCACAGGCACCGCAACGCCGCCACCTCTTCCGACTGACCACTTCCCACCCTCCGAGCGGTCGCGAAGCCGTCATGGCGAACTACCGCGACCGTGGCCGGCCGGAACCGCAGCAGCAGCGAGTTATCGATACAGGTCATCTCTGTCCATAACTGCCGGCCGGCGGTGGCGTCCGCCGCCACCGGCCGCCCAAGGCCGCCGCGCGGCAGCCCCAGCGGCGCGCGCGCTGGCCGCGGCGGCGGCCGTCACGGACCCGGTAAATCAGGAGTGGCGCCTGCGGCTGCGGCTGCCCCGGCGCGCCCGCGGGGCTGGAGGTCCGGCTCCGGCGCGACCCTGACACGCTTAGTGTCCGGACAGCGGTGTCGTGCCGGCCCGCCGGCCGGCCCCACCTGTCCCTGTCAGGGGACGCCGCGCGGGCGCCGCGATGAGAGACGAGGACCACTGGCACACCGTCCATCACTGGCCAACCGCTGGCGACTCGGCGCTGTATCAGGTGTCTCTGCAGCCTTGATATACGGGCTGGTCACCATCGCGGGCATGGCCTCCTGGCGGGTGCTCCATATACTCCATGGACGCTGCAGCCGGTAGGAAGCGCTGGTGCGCTCGGCGAGCGACGCTGGACTGCAAACGGAAAGTGTTCTGGGCCGGGCCTGGTCGATACATCTCGGTCCAGTTCGCCCGATCGCCGGCGCGCGTAACGTGTGACACGCGAGTTCGTGTCGTTTCCAAACCGGCAGAACGCCGCGGCCTAGATTTGTTGGATCAGTTCCCAGGCTTGCGGAGTCACCTCAAGATGGGCCCGGTGAGGCTGGCGCAAAAATGGCTTAACTTCGGCCTTCGATAGCTCACGCTTTAACGGTTCTGTTCAGCAGCTGTCAACGTTTAAAGGGAATGTTTCACATTGGAAGATATTAAAGCAAGCATCATATATGATGAAAAAAGTTCACTTATAACTATTGGCATGCTTTTAAGTGGCAAAGGCTGCTGAAGAAAACACAATTTCTATGTGCGGTACATATGCTCCGCAATGCGTCATTGCTTGACTACGGCATCGTACCTTGCACAGCATTGATTCAGGGCCAATCAACGATCGTTGTATTTGGAGATCGTGCTCACGAACGCCAAATATGAACGACTCGGCAATTATATTATTCTTGGCCTTGATCGCCGCATAACCAGTGAAGACAGTGACAGGATTCGAATCACGTTATTTTGGCGTCATGAATGCCTGAGTGACCTTAAAATAGTCTCCCCGCAAAAGCCTACACATCGTCGCGGGCGTGTTGCTCAGAAACTAGAAAGATTTCGGTCTTGAGAAGGGCAGGGCTGTGAACTGCACCGAATGATCTTCAAGATGGCTATTTCAGTTCAAACCCTCACACAAACGTGGGACACTCCATTTAAGACTCGGACAGCTGGGCTAGCCAGCCCCAATAAATTCGCCCGAAATGAGCGTGTGCCCCGGAGCAGATGGGCTTCAAATGGTGTAGGCAACGGCACGTTCCAAGTGACAGAGTGCTGCCGGGCCGATCCTGTATGGATTAGATGTTGAGTTTTCCATGCGATGGGCTGAAAATAAGCTTCGGGGCGCCATGGACGAACGTCATGGAGTATCCTTTAGTGAATCTCAAACGTCTACAGCTAACCAATCTCCTCATCCATGGATGATTGATTTGTAAAATATGCATCGATGTACCGTTATTGTGCCTCAACATCTCGCTCGAGACACGCGACAGACGACATCTTAAGCCTTCTGCGTGACGAGCGGATCGACTTTGGCCTACCATCTTTGGTGGCGATGTATTCACGGAACACTATTTCAATGAAACTATAAATAGTTCCAGTAGTGCACATGTCAGGTTGAATACCATCACATTAGCGTGCCACTCGCCCTGCGTTGGCGAAATGTGAAAATCCCATCTAGCTGAGCGGCTATACTGGGCTATCGCGGCCGGCCGCGCCGTGCCGGCCAGGCGGCGGGCCCCGACCGAACCCGGCCGGCTCGCCGTCTGCCGGGCGCTCTCAACAGCCGCAATGCAGGCGGACAGCCGGCCTGCAGCGCGACATGAGAATGCCGAGCCGTCTCAGTGTGTGCCGTGCATAATCCAGACGAGCGGATCACACGCCTCACCGGCCGGGTCGGAGACGGAGATCAGATCGGATCGGATCGGATCAGCGGGAGGGCTGATCCGAGGCTGGGAAAGGTGGTCACACTGAGAAAGGTGAGCTGTGGGCTTTCCTAGCCAAACGGAGGCGAGAAACGCGAGCTCACAAGACTCACAACAGGACGTCCCAACATCATGTTTACTGTGCGAGCTCTACAGCCTGTCTGTGCACCAAATGCACCCCACAACCATCGCAAGACAGTGCACATGTTTCTGGTGGACGGGGGACACGTCGTCACTAGCTGCGCCCAAACATGAACACGACACCGGATGACATCACCTGACTGCTGAGGCACCACCCCACACGCACCACCCCGCACGGGACGACGTCCCCACAGCGGGGGGGGGGGGGTCAGCGTCTGCCCGTGACCCGGCGCGACCCCGGCGCGACCCGGTCACCTGAACCTCGAGGCCACGAAGAAGCGCAGCAGCACGGGCGAGGGGCGGCGGCGCCGCTGGCAGCGCCGCTGCCGCACGCAGCACATGCGGACGGGCGGCGAGCACGCGGCGCCCTGCCGCCGCGCATGGACCGGTCCCACTGCCGCGGCCGGCCGGCGCCGGCCGTGTGTCGCCGCCGCCTCCGAGGGGGACGCTCGCGTGCACCGCCGACGTCGCTGCACCGACGGCATGGCAGCGGCGCCAGGGGGGTCAGCTGACGTCGGGTCAGCTGGTGCGCCACCTGTGGCCGATTCAGGCGCAGCGAGGGCGCGCCGGGCCGGCCCGCAGGCGGCACGAACCGGTCACGGCCGCTCGCCGTCACCGCCGGCCTGACGTCACGACGGAGGGGCGCTCACGGCCGAGCTGGAGGGGAGGGGAGGGCGTGAGGGCGCCGGGGTGAGCCGCCCGTGCACGGACCGGGCAGGCTCTCACGTATGGTGCCACATGGTCTGCGGAAGGCTGGAGTCAGGCGTGACACCCTGCAGCCGACGAGTGAGCGCGTGTCAGGCAGAGCAGCCCCGCTCCGGCTGCGGACTGGCAGAGTGGTGCAGATGGCAGAGCTGACTCGCGGCGGCGGCTCCGGTCCCCTGGGCAATGTTGCTACATATTGCATGAGAAAATCCCAAGTTGGATACGTTCTCGCGTTGCGAGTGTATCGCTGCTAACACCGCTTAAGATCACGACGAAACGTCCGCAAGTTCTGAAGACGCAAAACTTTCGCTCCCTGTAATTGGTAAAGTTGCTATTATCAACAGCAGCCTTTAGTTTTCGTCTCAGTCTATGTGTGGTGGGCGTTTCCGCCTTACCGTCAGCAAGAGGGCTCCTCTGGGAAATGGAACGAGGCATGTTCTGAGGATTAACCGCATCATTTGTCCCGCTGTGCCGCGTCTGAGTTACCACCTCCAGAGGCAATAACTCATAGCGCGGACGCAATTCTCCTCAAATAATCCTCGTGATCCTCGAGCAGCTGCGCAGGCTTATAATTGAACCAGCGGCTATCAATCGTGATGATTAAGCAGGCCGCTTATAGCAGTAGCAGGCGGCATAGTTGTTCTGCATATCTTCCTCCCGGCTTAATTACGTTCGCCGTGTTTAAGTAGCATTATCCGGCGCTGTGTTTACCATTCCAGAGAGAGATAACGGGATGACGCTTCATCTGCACTCCGGCGCTACTGGATTACAGCGCTGCCAATTTGCCCGGGGCAATTTAGTGGGGGTGACCTCATCCGCGCGGTCGTTAATGCGGCGCAGAACCGGCGCGGGGGACGTCCAGCCAGCAGCGAGCCCCCAAACATGGCGCGTGGCCGGCGCCGTTCGAACGCCTCTGGATTTAAACTGAAGATGACCGGACGCCAACGGCTGCTGCTGCTCCGAGTTGACAGCGGCGCGCCCATCCCAGCGTCTGGTGCGCGCCCGTTCAACGCCAGCCATAACGATAAATTCCAGCGCGGCGAGTGACTCACAGCGTAGGT